GTAAGCTACGCCGTAGTGAATCCAGCGGACGCTAACTTTGTCAGCAATATGTCGTTTTTGACCGTGTCGAACGCTTTACGAAAATCAAAGTACGCTACATCTACCTGACCACCCACACGTCTGTCTAAGGCTGAGCTTGCATAGTGCATGAAACAAATGATTCGAATGTGTACCCCGCCCTGGCCGGAACCCATGTTGCGCGTTTGACAAGTATGGATCAATTTGTGGGAAGATCTTATTGTAGAGTGTGGACTCGAACACTTTGGCGAAGGTGGATAGTACTGCTACTGGTCTATAGTCCGATACATCTGTGCTGGTCCCACTTTTCGGTACTGGAGTAACACGTGTAATTTTCCACTGCTCCGGGTATACATTGGCGTACAGACAGATATTAAATATGTGGCTAAAACTGATGCACAGTCCCTCACTATGTATGGTGGTATTCCGTCTGGCCCTACCGATTTTTTGGGTTTAAGATATCTAAGCGCACTTCGAACGTCTTGTAAGGAGCGACCAGCTACATGAACGCGTTCGGCAGTTACCTCACTACCAGCCGCTGCGGCTGTGATCTCCGCTTCAAGTAAGGGAGTTTCAGCATTGTAAATCGAATGGAAATATTTCGTAAAAGCCTGAGCACTCTGTGAGTTGTCTAGTACCAGGCCGTTTCTTGTGACCCGGAGCTTACCTCGACTTGAGCGTTTATTTTTTATGTAGGACCAAAAGGATTTAGGGTCTTTAAAAATTTCATTTTCAATCCGAGTTTTATAATTTTCGTATGCAATTTCTACCTTTTACTTTACTAGTGCTCTGTGGTGTAAAAACAATTTGTAATCAGAAGCCTCGCTTGCCTTGTACAATTTATGATATTTGGCATTCTGTTTTATACCCTGAATAATTTCAGCGGTATACCACTCCGCGTTCTTATTTAGAAATTATACTATATTTGATAGTGAACAATTCAAGTTACTAATTTAAGCCTCAGCCTGCCTCTGCTCTTATTGTTATCCCTAACACGGGTTTCATATGTGCAACATTATTTTAATTTTTAGACCTTATGTACTTACCATATGAAGACAATAAATATATTGGGTATTGAGTATTAAACTAAAGTGTATATAAAAATATATTAAATGCAATATGACATTATTGATAAATTAGTATAAAATAGTATTAAAATAAAAATAATATGATGCATTCTTCTACGACTATTATAACAGCTTTTATATATAATAATTATCATCTTATTTTTTAATAATATATATTACATCTTGTCCATCGTAAGTCGTATATCATATTTTATGAAATTTTAAACGCAACTATGTAAATAAGTTTTATCCATGAACGTCATAACTTACGTTCATTAAAACTAATGGAGACGATATAAATATGGGACAATAAAGAACCTGTTTTTTTTTTCTTGTAAATTATTTTTATACATGCTTGTTCTCGTTAATTTTAAATTCGTGAATTTGCGATTGTAAATACATTTTTGCAATGTGGGTTATCGATAACGCTTAGCTGCATAATCTTTTCAATTAGCCTCTAAAGTGTTACGAATGAAGATACAACAATTTTAAGCTTTAATCAGTATTATAACACTGGCTGTATATAAATAAAGTTAGCGTCAAACTTGAGATCTGGTTATCAATATTTTTATTCTGTGACTTTTGTGATACCACGTGACGGGGTGAACAACTTGTGTGCCGAGTGGTAAGCGACACGCCTACCCATTACAGTATCGTGTCATAATTGTAAGTTATCATAATTATAACTTTTGATCCTCAAAAATTTGTGGAATCACATCTTTTTGCCAAGTTTTATCGAAATCAGTTAACGGAAGGTGGGTGAAATTCAATAAACAGATTCATCTCCAATTTTCCGCCCTTCGAGGTGGAATATTTTCTTAAAATTTGAATGGGCCCACTGCCACTGAAGTAACCCTTTCCAACAAAAAAAAAAGAGTCGTCAAAAGCAGTTCACAAAATGTCGGAGTAATCGCGTAACATACACAAAAAATACAGTCGAATAACCGAAGTGAGAACCTCAATCTTTTTTTGAAGTCGGTTACAAATACAGAATGTTTTTTTGGTCAAATTTGATCGGTCCGATTCCCGGATGAGGCAAGAAACTATTTAAAAGTTTATGAATGCAGTATTACTTACTTTTCAAAATAAAATAATGTATCCTTGAAGCAAATTATCCAATCTACAATATATAAAATATACATCCCAAAGTGTCCCATAGCCGTGAGACGCCCCGTGTGTGATGTAGTCTTCTAAGTGCACTAATTATCCCAAATATTACTGTTTAAATATTAACCATAACTAAACATAAACTACCTTTAACACTGATTATTAGTTGACTCATTCATATTTTCCGCCACTGACATAGTTCTCGTATACCGATAACAATACCATTGTATGTCCCTATTCTGATAGGCGGCGCTCTAATCGTCTGCCCTTGATGAATTATTTCTTGATGAACAAGTTAATTACATTATTCCGTGAATTACTCGTAACATTATTGTAAGTTTCACTATACAATACTCAAGGTTTAACTTACTCAGAAGGTTCATTAAGAAAATTTTATCCACGTTTTTATATCTTAATATAGGAAAAAAGGAATTGTAATAATAATGATAAAATTTTAATTATCTTTAAATTTCTTTGTGTTATATTATTTTAGGCTACTTTTGCAACGCACAAGTAAAATTTTAAAAAGTCAGTACACATTAGCTATCGTCTAACTGGAATACGTCCGCGTTTTTATCTTGATTGAGTTGTTTTTGTTTTTACAAACACTGTGGATTTGACAACGTGTGCACGTTCGTACTAGATAATGGCCATTTAACATAAAAATAGCTTGTAAAATTATAATATATTTTTTGGTTTTTCTTTATTCTGTATTTAGTGTCAAATGAAACACCGTGTACTATAAATGAGTACGTGTCGTAAGGATTCCACATACACTCATCAAAATTTTGAGGTAATAGAAATAAGATTAACATAAGTCTATTTATTATCCGACTATATAGAGTGAAATAGAAAAATGTGCATGCCATATTTCATACTAAATTTTATTTCTTTGTGAAATTGATTTCGTTTTTGAATAAGTACGTTAAAGCGTACTGATTCAAAAACGAAACGAAACAAAACATTTTTTAATTAAAAAAAGAAATTTGTCGCGCCTTTTTGTTACATTCTGTAGAAATACTCTATTGACCGCACAAGGTCAATCTATGATTTGTTTATGAACTCTCATAATAATTTGCAATATCCCTTTTCAAATAATATGGATTCTATAACACTATATACGAACTCAAATATAGGTAGGAAATATACTTATTTACTTAGTCAAAAATTAATAAGTCATGCTTATCTCGGTGAGTTATATACGCCCACCATGTAACACCGGCTGATAAGCGAAAAACTAACATTGTCCATGGAGAGATTTAGGTGACTTTTGATATGACATTAAAATTCGGCGCTTTTGTATACTGCTTCGACACCATTGTATCCTGACCCATCTGCGGCACTACTTGCTGAACGCGTGCCACCTCACTTCTTAGTGGCTGGACTGAGAACGAGGAATTTAAGAATGGGTTTTATGTACGATTTCGTAAAGTATATTTAACAATGAAAGACATGGTCAACTACTGGCACGCTATAAGCGACCACACTTCGCACTAGCCGCCTGTTGTTAGTGTTAGGATTCATAAAGTTTTGTTTTGAATCGAGACGCTACGAAATCAAGGCGGTGCGATATATGAGTAAAGATCATTAATTATTCAATACAAAATTAAGCAGCCGATTATTTATTTCGTTGTATTGAGTCTACTCACGGGGGAGACGTGAATTGCAGAAATACTGTAAGCGTGTGATTCTTTCACACGGTTCAACTGTGACAGTGCACTTAAATCTCATGAAACCGTTTAGTACATCATCTCTTAAAAAAGGAGTTTATTATCTTTTTTGTAGGAGTTTTCGACGCCGCTACTAATTTAGATACAACAATACCAATGTATATCAAAAGTCGTGGTGGCCTAATAGTTTCACTTACCGCCTCTCAAACAGAGGCCGTGGATTCGAATCCAGTCGCGCACCTAAGAGTTTCTCCGAATTTAATACCTCCGAAATTTAATTTGAAGATTTTGAATTATTAATTCGAAATTTAGATTGAATTTACCATTTTTCGGTGAAATGAAACTTCGTGATGAAACCTGCACGTTGAAGGAGATTCACAACTTTCGGAAGTGAAGTTCTCAACGAACAAAACAATGGGCCAGTGTGGTGGACTATGACCTAACACCTCGCCTGAAATGAGAGCCGTGCCCAGCAGTGGGACGTATAGTGGATTGATGATAATGATGATATCATCATGATGAATTTTATCTACATATTGTACATATTATTATCTATATTCGTAGTCGACAGTCGTATCTTTCAGGTAAATACAGTCGTCGTTAAATGTGTGACTGTCATTGTAACTCATATCTATGAAATGCGTTTACTGTCGCAGCTGGACATACTGTCTGTATGCCGAGAGTGGATAAAGCGATATTCAGTAGGATCGTAGTTGTATGCTCTATTGTAGTAAACCAACGTCACGAACATACACATCGATCAATCGTGCGAACAGCACATAATGATGTACCACTAAATACATATCATGCATTGTATTTTTAACAGGCTTCAAAAAAGGAGGAGGTTCTCGGTTTTACTATATTTTTTTGTGTATGTTACACGATTACTCTCACATTTATGAACCGATTTCGATGTTTTTTTTTTTGTTGTAGGGGTGTACTTTAGTAGTGCTACAGTTCAAATTTGAAGAAAAGATTCTACTTTTAATTATATCAAATTAGGAGATGAATCTAGTTTATTGGATTTCATCCATTTTGTAAAGTTTCAGTGTGTACTATAAAAAGATTTTAAAGTCAGTTTTTTTATTTCCCATTATGTATTAATCTAAAACAACCTTAAACCTTTCATATTTTTCAGGCTGCTTCGCAAAAGCATTCGAGCGTATACCACGGTCAATGGCTTCATCCTTAGCGGGTGACCTGAGCGCAGCGCCCTCTATGACGGGTTCTCTAACAGAGTGCTTGGGCCCTGTGGTACCACCCATGCAACTCATGCATGTGCTGGAGTGTACGGTTGACATCAAAGAGAGCGATGCTAAGGTAAATAACCACTCGATTAAGTACAGACGTCAACACATCAAGCCACACTTTGACGGATCTTATTCCGTTGTACTGAAGGCGATATCCAAACAAAAGTGTATATGTGCTGTTAATCGTACTTAGTAAAAAAAAATCGTTTAAGGAAGTACTGCCACCATATCTATTTCTACTGCCAAGCAGTAATGCTCACATAAATGTTCCTTTTTTGTAGGGTAAGGGTGCTAGTAAAATTATATGTACATGAGTCTTGTCAACTTATGTCGCAAGGTGAATCATATCAGTCGTGTCTTTGCGATTTAAAGCTCTGTGTGGCACTGAATGAACACTAAAAGGATCACAATATTGCAAATAAGGCAGAATACTAATCACGCGTGTCATCAGTACGTATATAACATTCGCAGAGGTAAAAATACTCGTTTTAATATAACACCTCATATGAGGTGGTCACATAAATTTCAAACTAAGTTATTTGCTCTTAACCGAAGATCGTAGTACAGAGAGTATATTGTATTTACATAAACAGCATTTAATGCACATAGAGGAGATAATACCACCCGCTGAAGTCCCGGAGTGATTAAGACGATGAGGTGCCCAAAATCGCTTAAATATGGTGTTTTTGTGTAAGTTTTTTGGCGATAACATAGCACGTGGAACTTTGAAAATAGTACATCCTGTAACACGTATCTTGAAGTGTAGCTTGAAAATCCTAGAATATTGCTTATTGTCATAGGTAATACAAAAAGTGGATTACAGTGTGACTCTGGTGGTTATTTTTTGACATATTTTTCTCGGGCAAACCAAACTTGCTTACTACCAAATTTGGTGTGGTTATTTAAATGGTACTTATCTTGATCCTGACACTTTATTTTGTTTTAAATAAAAGACAAATAACAAATTTAGGAGTAAAAAGTAACTTTCGACTGCTAAAGTACGGCACTTAACAGTGTGAAAAATATCATACACAAAAAAATACGTAAATAAGTAAATATAATGCACCAATTCGTTGAAATCAAAACAAAATATTAACAAAAAAGTCAAATCTAGCCATTAGGTGAAAATAAAAAGAAAATATTTTTGGTTGGATTAGAACCTAAAACACAAAGTATTCAAAACAAAAATGAAATTATTGTTTGCGTCCTTGATTATTTAGTAAAATTGCAACGTTGAAAACTTCTGCTGCGTAGCTTGCGTTCGTGGGTTACGTTGCCAGACCTCTGTTTTGACATGGTTTTGACAGATTAATATACAGGGTGGAAATTTGTAACGCCACCTGGAGGGAAAGTACTCTAAATACTGGAGATAGAAATTTTTACTTAAAGGAAACATTCCTTTATTTTTTAAAAGAAATAAAACTGCATTCATAGATTTTCGAAAATTTTTAGCAACACGCGGGAATCGAACCCGCTTTAATCTGAAAAAAAAAAAATGCACCCTGCACTTTTATTGCATCGATCGATAGGGTTAATTATAAGAATAAAATCTCTCTCACAAAATTGGTTAATTAAACGAAAAAAAAAACCATGAAATCTTAACATATTTTAATACAACGAAAAAAATGGTAACCTAACTAATTAGTTGCTCGAAATATGCTCCATTTTCTTGGATACACAAATTTAATCTTTTAACAAATTCATTTTGAGTAACTTTTAATAACGTTTTGTGATGAATTGTATTACAAATCGTATTCTGAACCTCAGCCTTCAACTCGTTTACACTCGCATAGGATTTAAGGTAAATTTGATTTTTAACATATCCCCTAAAAATAATAAAGTAAAAATTTCTATCTTCAGTATTTAGAGTACTTTCCCTCCAGGTGGCATTACAAATTTCCACCCTGTATATTGTATTGTAATCGGCCGTCTACCGTCGAGCACGATACTTACGAGATATGTAGTTGGACATACATAGTTATGCAAACTATAACCAACCTACAAAATGTCACTTTCGAGATAATTAGATTTTTGTAAAAACAGTGTGAAGAAATAAATAGGTAAGTTATTTGCGACTAGAGATGCGCCGAGTACTCGTCTGCTACTCGGTACTCGGTGTACTCGGCCGAATAACTCGGTTCATGAGAAGAGTACTCGGTTAAAATAAAGCATCACAGCTATAGACATAATAAAGTAAAATCAACAATATATTTAAAATATTCAAAAGAAATTTATTACTAGAAATTGTAGACAATCGTAACAATTTAGTAATTAAAAAAGAAAGTTTACATTATTAATATTTAAAATTTAACAAAGGCAAGTTATGATGTAGGAATATTTACAAGGCTTTCTGCGCGTTCGGGTAATAGTCTGTTCCTTTTTTCTTCATACACATTACCTGCTTCGGCAAATAACCGCTCGCTATACATAGTGCTTGCAGGTGCACATAAAAACACTGGTGCTAACTGTGCCAGTTTTGGATATTTTGTTTTATGCTCTGCCCACCATTGGAAAGGACTCTGCTCTCGCCACAATAAATTTTCATTGACATATCGGCCTAATTCTAGAGCAACGGGGGCTTTTAGTATCATCGCGTTCCGGTTGTAATGAACCGAGTAACTCGGCCGAGTGCTCGGCTCGGCAAATGTTAAACCGAGTAATATTCGGTACTTGGTTACTCGGTAAAACTTGTACTCGGCGCATCTCTATTTGAGACAAACGATGTACTGTAGCAGTGAGAACGATATAGGGAAACTATTATATTATATAGCAATAAATAGAAAACATTATGTATCTTTTTATTTAGTTAACGAGAACCATGTTCTAGTTTTCGTAATGAAAACGCCAAAGATCTACAGTACTTCAGTACATGTGACATGGATCCGTTTAGCATATTTAAAAAAAGACATTATATGAAGTTAAGCAACAAGGTTCTTTTTAGCTATTAAAAAGTTACTTATTTAGGGTTGGTACCCTGAAGGACTTTTATTTTCTCCGTTTTGGCTTGGTGTGTTGCCAGGATCTTTTGTGAGCGAGTAAAGGACACGTCTGGTATTCTACCTAAATACATAACTCAATTTCACTCGAGGTGTGGGTTGTTTCTTGTTTGCATAACATGTCCAGTTCTTATATGCTTTGATATTTTTTGGTTTGATAGCATGTGTGTATTTTAAGTACAATGCCATCTGTTAGCGGTAATCAATATTATTATAAATCAAGCGGAAGGTCCAACTACCACACTCTTACCGCATTGGGGCGTATGGCGCCACCTCATTGGAGAAATTATAGTAGGCGCGTTATCGCTCAAGGTCATCGACGCAAGGTCATCGACGCTTGTCAGCATCTTAAAAGTAAAATGCGCAATATCAAAACAAATTAGTTTTTTTTTATTTACTATAATTACTATACATTTTTGTTCCTAAGTAAGTCTTAATTACGTATCAAAATTTTGAAGATAATAAAATACAATAATTACGAGATTTCAGAGGGAGGTATTATTTACACCGTGTATTTATGCCCATAACCCAAACATTAACTTTTAATCTATTTATTTGTCGGAATACGGTACAACAGATTCTTATTTCGTTTCAAATCATTAACATTATCTACATCCTAGTTATATTTTCAGGTATTTGGTTATATTTCCAGGGTACATTCAGCCACGTGCCGAAAGAACGGCTTGGGTTCAAGCTGCGCGGCGGCATCGACAAACAAGTAACGATCACCGTGACACAAGTTACCAATAGCTCCAAGACCGAATCGGAGGATCCACAGGTGAAAATATGCTTATCTCTTGCCTTGTTTATTTTTTATTCAACAATGTACAGGCCCTGTACTCTCGTTCTTCGTCCGAGACCCGACCGAAACAATTACTGTCAAATAATTTATACTCGACAAAATTAAACGACGCATGATGCGAATGAAGCTTCATACTTGGACATTGTCTTTGAATTACTCATTTCACAGTAATTGTTTCGGCCGACTAACGGACGGAGAGCGAGCGTTGACTCCCAGCTGCAGGTAACACACTACAAATAATACTTAGAGCTATGTCATAATGTAATATTACAAATCTGGCATCCAAATGTAATTTGTACACAACTTGAAAAAAACCTAACATTTCTCACTGCTAAGTATCTTTCTCCCCAAAATCTTCCACTGTTCTGTGTATTTGGCAACTTCTCTTCATTCCTTCTCAAATCCATCAAAATCGTCCCGTCTTCTCGGTCCACTCGTTAGGTTTTCTTTTTTTTTAGAATTAGTAGTAAACATTTTGCGTCTTTCGGGACAAACTAAGGCGTCTAATTGGCCATAGTGCCATAACTTAGATTTTTGTTCAATAGTTTATTTTTCTGATATTTTGTCTTATGAAATAATTATGTCTTTACGGTGGCCATTTTTCTTCTTTTAGAATTGGAAAAACCGTAAACATATGACCGTAAACCTTTTTCTTCAGACAACAAATTACAGTAAATGGAAATATCGTGAGAATTAATGACAAATGACATTTGTATAACTGCGTCTGTGGCCGAACAGCTACCTATAGACTACGACGCAGAAGTACCGGGTTCGATTCCCGGGTCGGGAGAATTATTTGTATGGTTTACTTTTATTTCTCTCGTGAGTTTGGGTGTAATTTGATAATTTCTGATTGTCTATGTGTGTCCATAGCACCTGCGATACAGGGTTAGTGCGGGACTATGAGTATGTGCGCTATTATTGTAAAGGACACGGTAATATATTATTACTATATAACAAGTTTCCTTTTTCGTAATCTGTATTTCTTTAAGTTTTTGTTGTGCAAGTTTTTGAAATAGATTATGTATGCAAAGATGTAAAGAGTTTTCATTAAATCTTTAGTGAATTCAACACGCAAAAAAACTTAATAATTACATAAATTTAGTGAATATATTTAAGAATTTCCTTTCACGGTATCTATTAAATTGCTTTGCTTACAAAATGGAATTAAATGGCGCCTAATAAAAGATCCAAAATTTCCTCCTGTCTAATGTCTAACACGAAGTATAGGTAAATGTTATAATAAAAGGAAAAATATGAAAGGAAATATTGACGTTATTTTTTTACTTCAACTAGAGCATAGGCTTATTTTGAATAACATATTATTACTATACAAGAATATCATTGTGGGAATATATGCTATTGTATGATCGAGATATTCCGCTTAGTGGTTTATTTACCTCCTTGTCGTTATTTAGTAATACAGGACTGAGTTTTTGTAATAGGCTTTATACAGGGCTGAACAACGTTACATGACTTTTAATTATTCATCAGATTTTACTTTCACACAAAAGTAAATATATTTAAATAGATCGCTCTAAATGGTAATAACTCTGTGCAGAACAAGAGTGGGAGTGTCGCGGAGGACGCTAGCACGTTTGAACTTACTTTACTACGAAATACAGATCAAAAAGTGTCACATAGTACAACAAAAACTTAATTAAAAAAAAATAAAATCATAACAAACTAGTAGTAATTTCACAAAAAATAATTGAATATCAATTCAATCATACAAATTTAATTATAGATAATAGCGACATGTCTAGCCAGGGCTTGGTAGTTGTATAGTTACCTGACTGGGTGACAAAATCTTTAGATGGCGCTACGGCTAAAACGACGTTGAAAACCAAATTTGAACACCCGACAACAAGCACATAGAAAAATTTTTGAGGTCCGCTATTTCGTTCCGTGGCTTAGTTGGCACGGTTTGCTAGAAGACGTCGGTTCGAATTCCGGATTGAAGGAACTTTTTCTGAGTGTTCCATCTTTGTATTAATAAAATTATAAAAAACTTAAAAGTTTAATTTTGGTAAATTTAGAACGTTTTAAAAGTCGTGGATCAGAAGTTGTTGTTTATGTTGTTAGTAATATAGTCCTGCGAGGTTGTTAGTATTTTAAAAATAATTTATTTATTTATTTGATGCATCTCACAGGAATATATAGTACAAATTTACAAATACATCACATGTGATACCCTGTAAGGGTGTAGCATAAATATATAATCCTAAGTGTATATGCTTTAAGACTAGTACTTATTCACTAAATGATTATCACTAGATACAGTAGGTATCTCACCACGTTGTGACTCCATATTATTTTCCCGATCTTTCGGAAGATTACACGTGCCGTCACCGGTTGACTGGCCAGCGACACTTGACAGTTTTAGGAAGTCGTTGTCTACCCTTATCACGATTTCTTCCGGCGTCACCATTGTTTCTTTCTTTTCGACAAACCGCTGTTTCTGAAACAGAAAATTTGAACCGTTTGTTTTAATTATTGCTGTGTTGTAAGCATATAGAAGTGCAGACATACGAACTGCATTCTCAGTGCAATAGAATGTAATCGGAAAGCCGTCTGAATGCAGTCTGTAGATGTAATATAGAGTAACATAGCAACTGGCGTGCAGTCGTGCACCATTACGTTCCAAACCCTATTGTGTAGTTAAGCTGCAATTGTAACGCAATTTGTGTGACTAAGAGCTTAATATCAACACTTAATATCAAAACATAAATAAATGTGTTAGATAGGAATACATTATAAAATATATTCTTAATTTTACAGGCTTCATACAATGGAGGGCTATACATCGAACGTTGCTTCGGGATTCTGCTCGCACCGGGGCGCAGCGTCAAACATTCCGACATGAGGCTTCTTGAAATGGTAAACTAAACGTAAATTCAGGAAACTTCATTTCCGCCCAAAGGCAGCTACTTTAAATAGCAGATAAATTAGGATTATCGAGTGATAGTAGCCTAGTAGGAAAATAGTTTTCAATCGAGAGGTCAAAGGTTCTAATCCCTGTGAGGACATGTACAACCTACATGGCTTTAATTTCTAAGCCACGTGCATTTGCGTCATACACATTGGGTCAGCCCGTCGATTTATGACCTAAAGCAGAATTATCCAAAATTACGCTAATTGTTTGTATTGCTTTGTGTCCAGGTAAGCGGATCTTCTGGGGGGTCCGGCTGCTCAGTGTGTGCCCTATGGAATGCAGGAGAGTCTGCGCTTGCGGCCTTCAACGTGGCCAGCGGCGACGGCGCGCCGGGATACATGTCGCTCGCACTCGACCTCGTTATTAGAGGCATTACTGACCCGCTACGGTAAGATACCTCCTCTTAAGTTAATTTCGCTAACCTAGTCCATATTATAAAGGCCCACGCCTAACGGTGGGGCGCACACAAATTGATACAATACATTTTTTTTGTTAATAAAAATGCAAGTGCGCATTTGACCTCCATTGAAAGTGACGATGAGGTCGACGATGGAGCATGCACACCTAAACAATGCCTATTCATTCTCGTCTTGAAAAAACCTAAATTATACCGTTCAAGGAGTAAATCTGCAGACAGAGAATTCCACTCCATAGCCGTATGCCATTAAACGTAGAAGCGAAGCGCTTCGTGTGAATGTTTGAAAAATCCACAACGTTGGAGTGGAACTCCAGCCTACGTTTGGTCTAGTCGATGATGTAAAGGTGAGGGCAGTTAAAAACATAGCTGTCATTCAGTGTAAAGGGACAACCTCCCCAAAATCCTTTTCTGTGAAAATGATTTTCCGTAAGATGGACATGTCCGTGGACATTGTGCCATGCACGCCTTAGACCAAATGTTTAATCCCTAGTTAAATGTCGACAAGATAGCTTGTAGGGACAAGAGGATTTAAAAAAAACTCAGTGTAGATTTTGTTTGAAACGTATTTTTTTTTACAGTTTAGTGGTCGAAACTCCCGTGAAAATTTATCCGCCATCTGAGAGATTTTGGTATTACTCCAAGAGGCCACTTGTACAGCAGTTCTACATCAACCTTAAAGAGGTATTTATGCTTGCTTATTTTATGATGATTTTTACACTTTCTTTTATGATATCAATTAATGGGACAAGCGACTGGGCACTGCCACCGCACCCGTCTTACTGAGACATAAAGTTAACAAGTCCCATGTGCGTGTAATTTCACCAGCATTCTTACTATTCAAAGCCTGAACGTAGTAATACATTACTGCTTAACGGTAGAAATCGATATGATGGCAATACGGGAAGTAAAAGCACTCTTTCCCAAGGAGCTCTACTGTTACTAATTATACATATAACTATTACTATTTAGCGTTTTTATGTGTTTGTGCTGTAATTAAAGTTTTACTCAATATGTTTTTTGAACACGCATCTGTGTTAATAATTCCAGAGCGTGGACCAAACGGGCGTGCTGAAGTACGATGTCGTAAATGTGGAGACGTCCGGCGAACTGGACAGGTCCCGCCTAAACCTACCGCTGTCGCTGTCCAGTCTGCTGCCGTCACCGCTGTCCAGTGCGCCTGCGCCACCTTCGCCTTCAGAGCCAGATTCTGGTAACTTACAGTACACACTTCTATCCTTTTGGTCGGTTGCAATATCCTCAAAAACCTTCCCAAACAGATAAAACTTTATGGCGACATCATCGTCATCAGCCTATTTGTATGTCGCTCTGCGGAGAACGGATCTCCTCTCAGGCAAGGGTTTAGGCCGTAATCCGACACGCTGGCTCAATGGTGGTTTTCTGTGGGTTGTGAACCTTTTTGGATGTGCAGGTCTCATCACAATGTTTTACTTCACGGAATACCTCATGGTAAATTTCAATTTAAATTTCGCACATAAATTACGAGAAACTCAAAAGGTGCGAACGCGGACTCGACCCCACGGCCTCTCCTTAAAAGGCTGTATGTCCACGGTTTTTATGTGGGCATACAAAAATCTGTGATGACTATATGAGGATGATGTATCTTTGCACAGATGGCGACGAACCATTACTCAGCGGTACAGGCGAGGTGTCCAAAGATTGCGGCGAAGACGTCCTAGTCAACTGGGCACAGGTTCTTAGAAGGTGCAGTTACACATTGCAATATCTTTTAGTTATTTCTTCCTGGAAATTTTGCTTCGTATGTGTTTCTTTGCACTATAATATAGCTATAAGTATATGTATATCCTGAACATTGAAACAGATTTTTTAAACGTTGAATAGTCATAAGTATCACAGGATAATAAGACAAGTAGAGTAACTCCCACCTGTTCGGATTAATGCCTACACTTTGCTACGGCGGCGTATGTTATACGCGACGACGACGCGATGTCGTGAATCGATTCAAACGCTCTCAAACATCGCGTTGCAAGCATGAAGCTTATACTCCACTGGAGTTTACACTTATAATTTTATGTAGTTGCTTCATTTCAAAAACTAACTGAATTTAACAAACAAGACTGACATTAAAACTATCTCTTATCAAAATGTGCGACACGTACGCGCGACTACAGCGCGTAGACGCGCGTCTTCGGCTTATAAAATACGCTGTGGGCATAGGCTCTTAGGGTTGTCACTTTATTATTTTAGGTGTACCCGCAGGTTGTAAACATAATTTACAAAAAATAAGGTGTTCATTTTTGTACCAGCATCACGGATTGGTTCTCGATTATGGAAGTATGATTATGAAATAGAAATCAAATGCTGAACAATTCTGAATTTGAATCACCATTGTTCAAAACACCATAAACACAACAATTAACACGTATACTATTTACACTTCAAAACTTTCGCATTGCATTATCCTACCTAACTATTTTCCCATCGACTGTAGGTGTGAAAATACCTATTAGTGTTCAAACGCGTTTATCCTTGTTTTCAAATGTTAATACGACTACTATTTGATGTCGTTTTTTAAACACCGAGCAACCGCTTCCAATCTATAATGAAAAGCGCATGTGACGACCCGTGCTATGCAACGTGAGTGCACCGCGAGATTATGCCAAGTGCGACCGTACAAGGGGCGCGGCAGGCGTGTGGAGATAGTAGTACTTGTCTATTATACTAAATATTATTAACAGTAGTCAGTATTCGTCGTACCACAATACTGCGGAGTCTTTAGTATAACCATTGTTATAAGTGAGATTTTTTTAAATGTTATAGCTGGACAGGACCACGACCACGCGCGTTGAATCATCTCGTGCGGGTTGGCGTACCTGAAGCTCTCCGAGGCGAGGTGTGGCTGCGACTGGCCGGCATTGACCAGAACGACAAGCTTATGGAGACGTACCGTACATTGATTAGTAAAGTTAGTAAGACACATTTGCTCATTATTGTATTTTATATAGGGTGTAACAAAATGGTGTAGTCATATTTTGGGACATGACCAGGAGGGAAATAAATTTTGTTTTCCATAGTTATTCAGTGTCGATTAACTAAGTATTACCTTTTTTTGCACCCTGTATATTATTTCGCCAACTTTTATGTTATTTGTAAATATTGTAACGTAATTTTTATTACATCAACATACTATTAATAGACGATCTCCACAATCCAGAGGTTATCACTATAAGCTCTTGTTACTTTTGTATTCACAGTATGGGGAAATCCCTAGTTTATGACATTATTATCATCGTTACTATGTAAACAATGTGTCGTATAAATAGAAATAAATGTGACTTTATTCGTCACACACACACTCATATATATAGAAAATATATTGGGTGGTATTTATTGAGATTTTTTGTTACTACCACTAGTTTTTTTTATGATTATGTTGGGTTGGCCAAAAAGTCCGTGTGTTATCAAAGTATAGAGGAAAAACATTAAAACATAAACAATCAAACTTTAATCAACTGTGTATAGACAACGTGTGTCCCGCTTTGACAAAACAGGACACAAACGACATTAATAAAGAGAAAAATGTGTAAACCCAGCCCACCAGACTATACAAGATAAGTTATTTTTTTTATTTTTAGTCTTTAAACATTAAAACATTGTCGCCACGCCTAAGGTTCAATCATAATGTAAATTACATATGCGACATTCTTTCTATCACAACAACCTTTAAATAGAGTATCTTTCTTCAAGCACACTTCTTCTAACTCCATTCTACTTCATAGGACTAATATAATTGTCCTAACAGGTGCTTGACCTCATATCGATCCTCCGGATCTGAACTAGTGGGATCCTCTGATCCCTATTATGGGCCTCCACACACACCCCTACAGCCCTTCCTCTGCCACCGCTTCATGCCCCCTTGTACCTTCAGTACAAGTGGCGATCTCATTCTAATTCTGTTACTGATTCGTCATACTCTATCTTCTGGCTGTCTAGTCAACAAAAAAAAAAGGAGATAGCATATTGGTACTCAGCACATTGATACAACTTAGGAAGAGAGGGCGTAAATACCAAACTACAAAGTTTACAAAACGTGTGAAAACGCAATTTATGAACGTTCTAGTTAATATCCTTGTTATTATTGTAGATGTGTTTACATAAAATAATCTTTTTTGTCGAGAACTAGATTTTGAGTAAACAAGAGCATGAAACCCAATTACATAATAAATTTATTATTCAATAGATTTACTTTTACACCCCTTCTCTCCTAAAGTATCTATACAGCTGGTTTTTAGCCAGAAACAGGTGGTGTTTCTCTGTCGGAGTTTGTCGCTAACTATTATTTATTTATGTGTGTTAAATAAATAAAATAAAATAAAATAAAATTAAATAAATATAACCATTTATTTATTTTGTGGCAAAAGTTATACACGTATCGCTTATCTGTTTCCAGGATTGTCCATTCGAAGCCGTAATCCAACGCGACATCGCCCGAACGTTCCCCGCGCACGACTTCTTCCGCGAGGCGGGTGGTCTGGGGCAGGATTCGCTGCTGCGCATGGCGCGCGCCTATGCCGTGCATGACACCGAGGTCGGCTACTGCCAGGGACTCAGCTTCTTGGCAGCCACACTGCTGCTGCATGTAAGTCTTGTAGAAGTCGACCAAAGTATACAGGTCTTTCTAAGAATGGTATAGACCACATTTCGCTGTATTTTCTTCGAAGCAATGTTTTCCTTCACCGTTAGGGACTGCTGCTATTGAACATTCACAAATGTACGTAACATGTTGAGTCAGGGCCATTTCAGCACAAACTGTTGCAAATAGGTATGACCAGTACTAAATTTAGTTTTTCTCTATGTGTTTATATCAATGCGTACTTATTTATGTTGTATGTGCTTTTGTGTTATACCTTGTGAAGTGATTGTAAATGTTTGTTTCTGCTTGTATTTGTGCTGAATAAACGTTTTACCTTATTTATCTAATTTAGGCTGAGAATTATAAAATAAATCTGCGACCAAGTTTTTCGTATTTACAAAACGAATTTTGCCTTAGTTTAAGCGAGAAATTAAATTGAGCTATGTAATTAAACCTAGGTTCAGTCTTGAAAATTAAAGGCATAGGTACATGTCGTCACAAGGATTCGAACCGTCCAAATCTCAATTTAACTATCGTATTCATATCAAACGTAATACCTAACAAAGAGGGATGTTAACCAAACAATCTGAGTTTGGCGAGAGACAAAGACGCAATATTCTACACCTAGTTCTTTGATACTTGGTGGCGTGATAGACATCCTATGTAACACTATCAATAACACAACATACCACTAGGGCTAGCCAGACAGGACGCTACTTGCGCGAGAGCGCCATAAAGTGCGAGATCTCTATGCGAGAATATCAGTATCTCGCGCTATAAATCGCTCTCGCGCGAGTCGCGCCCTGTCGTGCTAGCCCTACAGATCGATTATTGGATTTGAACATATGTGATGAGCGATGTGGTATCCTACATATAATACAAGCTTCTTTTACAGATGCCCGAAGAGCAAGCGTTTTGCCTACTGGTTCGACTTATGTATGGCTACGGACTACGAGACCTGTACAAAGACGGTTTTGAGGCACTGTACATGCGATTGCATCAACTCGATAGACTTATGGAGGTAATATGAAATATACAGCGAGAGGAAAATAGTGTTTAAATAGATTTTCTAAATTACTTCTATACTGAGTGTTCTTGGTTTGGGCCTTTTGAGTTAATTCCGTTACTTTAGTACTAAAAGTACGGGAACTCCTAATTTAAGACCAGTACCTCTACAATGAGATTACTCTGTTACGCAAAATAGGCGCCTTGACGTCGAGTTGCGGACACCAGCCCGTTGCACCAAGTACCAGTACTCTGTTACTACCAGTAGCGCCTGCGTAAATTTTGACAATTTGGTGTAACATATAACATTATTTCTTTTTACAAAGGTCTGGCACGTCATTACTATTTCAGTTTTTAGATAGATTTGGGGCAAATGCAAACTAATTCTAACCTATGTTCGATACGTCTGTCTCGGGACCAGTAAGTAAAGGACAGATGCCATTTTAGTTAATGCCGTCGCCGTTTCACCATTTCTTTATTTCTATTGTTAACTTAGACAGCGTGTGCTCGTAATCATGACTAAAGTGATGGCTCGTTCGTTTCGTACTGATAAGGAAAGAGTCAGATACACTGAAGTTTAGTTTATGTTTCGCCGAATCGACGCCAGTGTTTATACATATATTTGATTAAAAAATCAAGATGGACTCAAATATCGCCATAGAAAATATCCAATGTAACCCTACCCCGTTCAACTAAATAAGCTAAACGTTTTCCTCTGTCTTTTTTGAAGATGGAGTAAAATGAGATTTGCGGAGTTGCCAGTTTTCATAAAATGTTAAATATTAATAATATATAATATATTCTTTATTGTACAAAGAAAAGACACATGAAACACACGTTACAATGGACATATACAAAGGTGAGCTTATCTCTATAAGAGATCTCTTCCAGCCAACCCTAGCCGTGGTGCAAAAATGAAGTCTGCGGGACTAATTAATGTACAACAAAATTTAAATTTAAATGTAAATAAAATATAAATGATAATAATATACATACGACAGACATATGCACATAAATGAACTTTATATACATAAATACATACATAAGCAGAATATATATTATAATAACAGATCATTTGTTTACAAATATGTTACCTATAAACTATCTAACGCGTTCGACAGGAAGTGCTCTTTTAATTTGTGTTTGAAAGATGCCACCGATGGACTATCACGAATGCTAGCAGGTAGTTTATTCCACATACGAGCTGCACTTACGGTAAAAGAATTGTGAAAGAATTTGGAGTTGGATTGGGGATATAAAAGTGTTCTAGTGTCACAGGTACGTTTTGGGCGGGAATTGGGGGATAAGGGGGAAAAACGGGAAAACAGATAATGAGGAAGCTGGGGGTAATTTAAAATTTTATAAAGTAGACAAAGAACGTGCATATCTCGGCGAAGTCGGATTGGGTGCCATTTCAATTTAGTCCGAAATTCAGAGATATGGTCATATTTACGTAAACCGAATATGAAACGGATTGCCAGATTTTGTAGGCGCTCTAGTTTGTTAAGCAGCTCCTCAGTAACATCCAAATAACAAACATCGGCATAGTCGAGAAGAGGGAGTAGTAGGGACTGAGCAAGCATAACCTTGGTGTTGAACGGTAAGAAGAATTGAAGCCGCTTGAGAGAATGATAGGAAAAGTGCATGCGTCGACTAACCTCATTTACCTGTGGTCTCCAGGACAGTGTACGGTCGATTATCAGACCCAGGTTCTTTGTGTTTTCAGCATATGCAAGACTTACTCCATCATACGAGACCTTGGGGAGATTATTAATGTCCAACCTGCAGTAAAGTCTGTTGCTACCTACAATTATTGCCTGTGATTTCCTAGGGCTTACAAGCAAACCAAACGCATCAGCCCAAGACTTCACCACAAGAAGATCCTTATTAATAGATTCAATGGCAGATTGGGTATTGGCTCCATCAAAATGTCTATAAATTTGCAAGTCATCTGCGTATAAGTGGAATGGAGGAGAAATTAATTTAGTGAGCTCGTTTATGAACAGCGAGAAGAGAAGAGGTGAAAGTACACCACCCTGTGGCACCCCTGAAGTCAAAGGAGACCAATCGGAATAGATGTCATCATTCCTGATCCTTTGATAGCGATTGCGGAGGTAATCCGAAAACCAAGCAATTGCAGCAGGGGAGATGTTAAGAGAGCAGAGAATGGCAAGAAGGATGTCATAGTCGACAGAGTTGAAAGCACAGCTGAAGTCCAGCAAAACAATAATGGTAAACAACCTGTTATCCATGGCGTGGCGAATATCATCGGTGACGTTAAGCAAAGCAGTTACAGTACTGTGACCAGGACGAAAACCAGATTGATACGGACTTATAAGTTCATGACGAGAGACATATGAGTGAAGTTGTTTATGAACTGTGCTTTCAAGGACCTTGGACAGGAATGGTAGGATGGAGATAGGACGAAATTGGGAGAAAGCCGTGGGAGTAGCGGATTTAGGGATGGGAATGACATGAGCTAATTTCCAATCGCTAGGAAAGACGCTAGTTGCAAGAGAAGTATTCAAAATGTGTGTGATAATTGAAGCAACGTCATCCAGGATAGGTATCAGCATGTCGCGACAAATACCATCTTCACCCACAGCTTTGGAAGTTATGGATAGGATACTCTTCTTAACTTCCCCCTCAGTGATTTCGCGAAAAGAAAAAGGTTCACAATCAGGATGAGTAGCAATGCCCAGAGAGGTGAGCGTGCCCGCTTTGATAGAGTCAGCAACAGTAAATGGTGAGTTGGTGAAGTATTTGTTGAGTGAGTTAAGGTCAGGCAAGTCAACAGTACAGTCACAATCTTTACCCACACCAAGTGACCTCAAGAACCTCCAAGTTTGACCCATAGACAAGCCTTCCATCGACGAGTGGAAGTAACGCCGCTTGGCGTCACGACACAGTCTATTGCAGAGATTGCGCAGCCTTTTATAAGAAAGCAAATTGTCTTCACTTGGAAACCTCTTGAGAATCGACTTGGCCTTGTCCCTACGTTTCATGGTTTTCTTTATTGCTGGTGTAAGCCAAGGCGCAGGCAGATGCTTAACACGTACTGGTCTGAGTGGGGCATGAGAATCATACAACTTTATTAAGTGTTTGTTAAAAATTTTGATCTTCTCATTTACTGTGCTAGCTTCAATCAAAGCAGACCAATCAATATTAGAAAATTCCTCTCTCAAGCGATCCACAGAAATGTTACCAAAGCTACGCTGAAAAATGACTTTAATTTTGGGTTTGGGAGTGCGTACTCGATAAGACAAATATATGAGGTCATGGTATGAGAACGGGGCAGTGGTTTGTCCATGTAGGAGAACCGATTGAGGTTTAGAGACTATCTGAACATCTAAAAGTGAAGGTTGACAGTTAGGAGAATGATGGGTGGCAGTAAGTGGGAGCAATACAAAGTTCACAGCAGATACCATGGAGTTAAGACGTGAAGATCGAAAGTTATTCTTTAATAAACAAGTATTAAGATCACCCATCAATATTACATGTTCGTAAGAGGCACTCAAGGATTCAAGGGTAGTCTCAAATAAGTCAAAATAGTTTACATTAACACTAGGGCTATAAGTAACACCAACTATAGTCGTCACAAAATAATAGATCATATTTGACAGCTAAACCAGTCGATAGTATGTAACTTTGAATGCAATCAACGAAACAGTAAATAAGCAATTAATAACTTATTGGGTTTTAAAAAAATACATAAATTTTATTGAAGGTCTATACGTTATGAAAGAAACATATTTCAAGTATTATTTTCGCAGGAATTCCAAAATAAAATCCAATTTTGAGTTACTCCGAAACGTCTTATAAACAGTTACATCTTCAGTCTAATTCTTTTTAATAATAGTGTTGTAACCAATAAGCGCCGACTATCATCGAGTCAAATCGGTTTCACTTTAAAAAAAATGACTTATTTAATTACTAAAGTCGTCACAAAATAATAGATCATATTTGACAGCTAAACCAGTCGATAGTATGTAACGTTGAATGCAATCAACGAAACAGTAAATAAGCAATTAATAACTTATTGGGTTTTAAAAAAATACATAAATTTTATTGAAGGTCTATACATTATGAAAGAAACATATTTCAAGTATTATTTTCGCAGGAATTCCAAAATAAAATCCAATTTTGGGTTACTCCGAAACGTCTTATAAACAGTTACATCTTCAGTCTACAAAGAAATAATTCTTTTTAATAATAATGTTGTAACCAATACGCGCCGACTATCATCGAGTCAAATCGGTTTCACTTAAAAAAATGACTTATTTAATTACAAAAACAAAAATTTTAAAGTGCTTACAAAATTAGACTGAGTATACTAGTATTTATAGTAGACAGAACCGTAAAGTCAGATTTGTATTTCCTTTTCTTTATCGCAAATTCTGAAACGGCAACACTGATGTCGATTTAGCGTCACTCTGCATCGGCGCCCGCGCAGTCTTTCGCCGTCTTGGAAGTTGACTGTACGCTTGGTTATTCGTGGTGTTTTTTCTTGTGACTCGGCTGTGCTTTTGGACTACTTCTATTTTCAATCTCGTTGACCTTGGCTTGGATATTTTGGACTTGATTCTGTGTGAACTCTTTTTCAACATGTCGAAAAGAGGACGTGCTTTAAATAGCCAGACTCGCGAACTGGTTGTGAAATTACACGACTATTTCGAAAGGGAGTCACTTAATGGTGGACCTCTATTACCAGTGACACAAGTGCAAAATCGCGTCGCAAGTGCACTTGGAATCGGCAAAAGAACGGTACACACCATCATACAAGAAAAATATGGGCCTTCCGGCTCTCAAGAAAACGTATTACATACGCCTAGAAAGAGGAAGAAAAGCAAGCCTGTAACAGGTATCGACACGTTCGATGCAGACGCTATTCGTAACCATGTTTATACATATTATACTAGACACGAGTACCCTACTGTGAGTAAATTGTTGGTATCACTTCGAGAGCTTGGCTTATTTACTGGGAGTGCTACCTCACTGATTACAATTTTGAAAAAAATTGGTTTTAAATACAAGAAGTCTGACAAAAGAAATATTATGATGGAAAGACATGATTTAATATTACAAAGAGTTTCATTTTTGAGAGAAATGAATAAAATTACAAATTGGGATAATGTTGTGTTTATCGATGAGACTTGGTTGAACTCAAACCACACAGTACCACAATCATGGACCGACGACACTAAAGCATCCAGCTCGAAAGTGCCAATGGGAAAAGGTGGTCGCCTCATAATTTGCCATGCTGGATCAGCCGGGGGAGGTTTCGTTAATAATGCTTTACTAGCATTTGAATCAAAAAGTACAAAAGAATATCACGAAGAAATGGACGCAAACAAATTTAAAGAGTGGTTTAAAACTTTACTTCAGAACCTCCCCGAACAATGTACAATAATTATGGACAATGCATCGTATCATTCGGTTCAAATAGATCGAGCGCCGACTCAGGCAAATAAAAAGGCTGATTTGGTGGCATGGCTACAGAGGAATGGTGTCGAAGCTGACATGGAGCTATTGAAAGTGGAATTGTTAAGATTAGTGCGAGAGCATAGACCTACAAAACTTAGGTATGAAATTGATGAATTGGCACTTGAGCATGGACATAAAATTATAAGGACACCGCCGTACCACTGTCAATACAATGCTATTGAGTTGATTTGGGCTCAAATTAAAGGTTAATATTTTTGCATTTAATACTGTTATTTTAAATTCGTATATATTAAGACTTATTTTGTACTAGTAGCATATTTTAATAAAGTACAAATGTAAAGAGGTAACATATAAACTTTCGAATTTGTAATATCACTGTGAAGGAACATTACTATTTTACAACAGTGTTTTTTTTTTACAGGCTACGCAGGACGTAATAATACTAAGCCACCGTTCTCCACAAAAAAAATGATGACTTTATTAAAGGAAGCATGTACTAAAGTAACAAAGGAAGACTGGAGAAAGGTGGTGGAAAAAACTAGAAAACTAATAAAAGAAGATTTTGACAGAGATGTTAATATTGATAATTTAATTGAAAACGAGTTAATTATATGGACTGGTGAAACTAGCTCAACAGATGGTTTTGGTTCATCTTCCGATGACGTTGATAAATAAAAAATTCCAATAAGGAGGTCTTTTGTTTTACTTCAGAATTTTGTTATTTACGTACAGGTTATCCTCGTGAACTATGCTAATGTATAACTACAATACAACAACAAGTACAGGTTGCCGTTGTGCTCACTTAAAATACTTACTTATTATTTCTATTAAACTGTATAACGTTTAAATAAATGTTGATTGATATATCTAGAACTGAAAAGCAATGAACAGAAAAATAACCTAAACGATTACAAACTCCTAAAATTTTTAATCGATTTCTCGTGAGAATCGTTTAAACTGGTTACCGATATTGCAGTTCACATCACTATTTACGTTGCGATGACATGTGTCAAATATGATCTATTATTTTGTGACGACTATAAGATATTGGTGTGATGTAAGTTGAGGTCTAGAAATAGATACTCTAAAGATCCAGTATAAGTGCTAGGAGACTGACTGACGACGGAGCACGGTATGTGGCTCTTGATGTAAATACATACACCACCACCACCACCAGTTCCAACTCTGTCGTTTCGATATAATTTATACCCATTAAGTGTAAAAAGGGGGGATGGTAGAGAGGGTTTGAGCCAAGATTCTGAGATTAAGATTCCATCAACTATGCCGTTGTTGAATGACATATTTAATTCAGAAATGTGTGCAGGGACACTCTGCGCGTTAATGTGCACCAAGTTAAGGAAATTGGATTTTCCATAAAAAATTGACTGCAGCTTAACATCTAGTGAAGGGCCATCAGAGTCAGAAGAAATAGAAATATCACTACAAGCACTTTCAAACTCATCAGATGAGCTATCAGTAAAATAATTAGAGTTTACAGACATAAATATAAATAAATAAATATGTAATTTATAAATAATAAAACAATATGTGTATAGACTAAAATACTTCCTACAAATAAAATAAATAAGCAAAACTAAAGACAAAAAAAACAAAAACGAAACCACCAGCGAGTGTTGGCAACACAATAATGGTAAAAGCAATATAAAAAATGTACAAAACAATGATATTACATTGAATACAAAATCAACAAGGCCATGAAGTGACAATTACGGAATAAATATCCTTAATATTTCGACTGAATGACTTGAGTACATAATTACAAAAAAAATAAAAATAATTAACAGTTAAAATTTCAGGTACAGGACAGTGAGCATAAAATAATACGTATTATGATTGGTACAGGTACATAGAAAACTTCATTCACATTGATATTTAGACTGAAAGACTTAAATCCAAAGTTACGAAAACAAAAAGAAGAAACGAAAAAGGTTTAAATAAATAACGTTAAAAAAATTTTTGAACGAAAAGTCATATTGACATCTAACATTAAACGAGCAAATGAAAAATACAGAGTTCGAGATCACTCTCTGTGCGAGTGCGGCCTAGAAGACGGTACCTTGGAACACATTTTTTTCAATTGTCCTAATATTGCTGTTCCACTTTATAACTTACTTTCTCCAAAATTCCCCCGCCCCGTTAACATAAACAACCTCTTAACTTTAGTGTTCTCCCCCCATATTGTTACTCTATGTAAATTTATCCACTTAAATAACATATATTTATAAATATTGTTTTGCTGTTTTGTTTTACATTCTCAACTGAGTACTCCCGTAGTCCAACTTACCAACACCGGTTAATGTCCTATTAGAGCTTAGCGAAAATTTTTTTTTGTTTCGTTTTTTTTTCTTTCAACTGTGACATTGGCAAAATCATCAGTTCTCATATTGATGGAGCCATAAAAATAAAAAGTGAAGTGAATTTTAATTTTGACTTAATAATGAAATACCTTAAAATTTTGTAGTGGAAAATTGTTTAAAGTGGAGATACCTCACAATAATCACGATGTTCGATAAATTAGCTGCCTGCCGTGGATGGAAAACTGGCCTGGAGCTTTTGCAATTCACCAAACTCAGTAATTTTTCTCCTGCTCTTGTCCGGCAATATCACAACTATGGTACCATCAGATGACCAACAGTTTTTAATGCCGAAATGCTTACGGGCTATAGCAAATATATTCTGCCTTGACTTTGTCAGGAACTCCGACATGGAAATTCTCGTGCCCTTTAACGCCGTCTTGGCCTTCCATACGACGGATCTACTTTTATACGTCGCAAAACGGACTAGCACAGGGCGAGTACGCTCTTTTTTAGCAGTCCCTAGTCTGTGACAGGTCTCTATGCAGTCCGCTTCAATTTGCTTCAGCTTCATTCTACCGCTCAGCACCTCAAGCACCCTAGCAGCAACATTCTCCTTGTTGTCCTCTTGCAAGCCATGAAACAACAAAACTTTACGCCTAGAATGGGTTTCCAGGCGATCCATTCCTGTGTGGAGACAATCCAGCTGCATTTTCAAGGTCTTGACTGCATTCACAATAAAAGTTTTGAACTGCTGGTAGTCTGCAGATAAAGCCTTAACTGTTTGTAACTGGGCAGCAGGAACTGATGAGATAGTGTGCTGTTGAAGGGCCTTTTCGAAATCCTCCATGCGAGAGTGAAAGAAGGAAGTGAGGTCCTGAAGTGTATCATTGACTTCAACAGCATCCATGGCCAACAAACAAGTTTTCCAGGACCCAGATGTTGTGATGCAAAGTGGTAGTTCTAAGGTTGTGATTGTGGTGATATGGAGAAAAGTGCAGTTGAAAATTTGTTATAGCCAACACTCACTGGCATATATACTAACACATTTACATACAATTAGAACTGTAAGTAGACTTAAACTATTTAAATAAATTAAAATATACAGAGCAATTTCAAAGGGGTCTTATTCTTTCGAAGTACCCGCGATTTTTTTTCTATTAATGTTTTTTTTTTTGTTAATGTTTTATTTTGTTTTTTTTATTAATGTAGTTTTTGTCGACAGTTCTATCGATAGATTGTGAAAGAAGGTGAAATTTTGCCAGGTTCTAATGATTAATAATTATTAATCATTAGAACCTGGCAAAATTTCACGCAATAATAAGAATAAGAATGAAAAATAAGAACAATGAATGAAAAGAAAGAAAAATAAGAAAGAAATAATAAGAATGAAGAAATCAATAACGCAATTGCGTTATTGATTTCTTCATTCTTATTTTGACAGTTGGCCTTCTAGTATCGAAATCAATTTTATTTGATTATCTATAAATAAAATAAAAAACTTTAAAATGTCTCCTCTTTGTATTTTTAATAGACATGGATCTAAATGGAAAGTGTGTATGTATGAACTTACAAAAGTTGACATTTCATTTGAACATGTGCCCAGCAGTTGGACGAATAATGGACCGAACATGGTTCAAATTAAAAAATTCTAACGTTGGCTCGATAATCTATAAAATATGTTTCGACTGCAGTCACTAGCTGCTTGCAAGCGGGCAATACTTTGCGCAATGAACCGTCATTTTACTCCATTTTCAAAAAGACGATTATAATAAATCACACCTTCAATTATAGGGAAATTCGAAATATGACATTTTCGGAATCCGGACAAAAAATTACGTATGAAATAAAGCTAAAACCAAACCAAAGCTAAAACGGCTTTTCATAGAAAACAAAATTTTGTGGTATTTGGCACCAGGCAAACATATAAGGCTAGTACAGTCCAAGTCACACAATAAGCTGTTCTTATCACTAGCGGCATTAGTTGAATTTAAGTCTTAAATTTTGCGCTTGAGCTCTTGATTTTGGGATTTCGTCTGTCTATTATCGAGTTTGCAAAATGCTAACACTAAATTGTTGTCGCAGGAGCAACTGTCAGAACTTCGAGCACACTTCCAAATGCTGGGCGTCGAACCACACATGTTCGCGTCGCAATGGTTCCTCACCGTGTTCACTGCTCGGTTCCCGCTACCACTAGTAAATATATGCTTTTATCACGAGATAAATACACTAATGATAGAAGTTCAGAAAATATGAAAATCCGCGTCGGCCTTATGCCAAAATAATGCGAATAGAGCAAACACTTAACTATAGTATGAATCAACATTAGGTGTCCAAAGGGTAAACGTAGTTTCCTATTTTTGACGATAGTAAACGTTTAGAACTCGTTCTTTTCAAGCTGCAAGCTGATAAAACTTAGAGCAATCAAATTTTGTAATTTTTACTTAATTTCGTTGTATACAATTATTACAATAAAAGATTATGTTTAAGATCGTAAATATTTTTGTAACACAATCGGGATTAAAAACATTTTAGTGACGCCATTTTGTCCTGTAATAGATTTCATTCGAGTTTCGTTTCTCAAACTCAAATGTTTTATTGTTTCCGTAGTGCGTTTGTTAAATTATTGTGTTGTTTTTGAGGTTTTTGTTAATATTTTGTAATAGATAATTAAAAATTTAGAAAATGAGAATTTTCCAATTCCTTAAATATAGAAAGTTTAGTACACCTGTATTCATACTTTTACAATTACTATTCTTTGTTTACATTTTGGACATCTAATTATGATTCATGTCATAGATATGTTTTTTTGTTATTGCATTTCATATTTTTACTAACTTTACTCTTTTAACTTTCCTAACATGATATTAATTCTTTTTTTGTGAAAATACTCCAGTAGGTAGTTTGTTATGATACAAAAATCAAATAACACAAAGGAAAAATGCTTCCATCTGATTGAACTATAACCAGCGTCTGTTGCCATACCAGGGCCACTACCAATACCAAGGTCTGTAGCTCTGGTAAGATCGATAGCCCCAGTGTGGCAACAGGCGCTGGTTCAAGTCCAGTCAGATCGAAGAAATAGATGTGCTTATTTTTTTATTGTTGTCCAACCAATGTGTGTAAGTCTGAAGGCATTGATAACACAATGACGTAGCGTCGTGATCGTATACATCACACTAAAAAACATTCAAACCTGTACGACTATTCTTCACGTCGCCTCTCGTTGACTGTGCTACACCAGGCATCGAAGCTGAAGTACATTCAAATATTTCCACAGGTATACCACATCCTAGATGTATTTCTACTACAAGGCATGGACACGCTGTTCCAAGTGGCAATCGCTCTGCTCTCTCGATCCAAGAAGGATCTACTCACACATGACTTCGAAGGTGTCCACAAATATTTCAGGTATATATTAAATAAACACATATATAACGCACACACTCATAGCCCCGCAATATAGCCGAAAACAGTTTCGGCACGGCCCTTATAAAAAAAATTTGGAAATTTTGTATTGTGGTAGACATACATGTAGTATTGATATATAACATTATTTTTCAGAGTAACATTACCGAAGAAATGCCGCGCGGAAGAGGCGTCCCGCCAAATTATTAAACTGGCTTGCAGCATCAAAGTGAAACGGTTGCATAAATACCAACTGGAATATGAGAAGTTCATCAAAGGTAAAAAGTGTATTTTTTTCGGAGTGCCGAAATTACTGGCTGACGAAGTTCTATTTAACAAGCCGTGGTAGCCTAATTGTTTGACTTACCGGCTTTCAAGCAGCAGCCGTGGGTATGAATTCCGGCGCGCTGTTTCCTTAACCTCTGACTTTATTTATTTATTCAATATGGTACAATTACACACACACAAGTCACATTTACTTAAAAAACATTATCAGTACAATTTGCGACTGCTATCCACTTACGATTGTGTTTTTTTTTACTGGACTAAACTGTTAAGAAAAAAAATTGTACACAACTTATGCAAAGAAAAAAATATATAATTAAGTACGTACAACCAATTAACCTACCAGCAAATGGACGTCGGGTCTAATACAAAAACCACGAAAAAAATGTCTGAAGTTAACAAATGTAGTGACATGTAACGAAATGTAAAAAAAACTAAAACATTTAATTTAAATTGTAACGTCATGGCAGTACTACCTAATTTTGCTTGCAACAATTTAAGGGCCCCAAAACACCATATTCAGCTTCTACTGGAAACTTAACAAAATTGGACTTAATATTCATGCACCATATTCAGCTTCGACTGAAAATTACTTGAACACAAGAGTAATGGAGCAGCCGTTATTGTAAATATTAATTAATTTTTATATGTATTATTACGTCGGATTTTGTACAAATTAACTTAAAGAAATGATTAAGAGTTGGGCAGATATATACATACAAATATTACAAATGTGAAAATAAGCGTTTACTTTATGAAATGTACCGATATTCCAACCAAACGTAAACTCAAATATCCGTAATTCCGGAAACCGGTTTATAATACAACCGTTATTCTTTCAAGTAATTTTGTTGCTTTTCACAAAGACAAAATTAGCTTTTGGTTTGTAATATTCCTAAAAAAATACATTTGACATTATGAAAATTCTAGCTAACGTTATTTCGGGCAAAAGTGTTTATTTCCTGACTTCTGATAGGTAATCCCAAGCCGTAAAACGAGTGCAACAATATTTCCCCCTGTTTCCCTCGTAAAATTACAAAAATGGCGATTACAGTGTAATGCTTCTCAAGTACGGAATTTCATTTGAAATTTACCATGAGCTTTTCGGTGAAGGAAAACATAGTTCAATAAATGACAGTCTTCAGCAAAATTATTTTTGTATCAATATAATTATCGAACACCAATGCAATTCATGTTTTGTCACTATTATTTATTTATTGTATTATAAAATGTTTATCTAAGTTTATTTACTTATTTTACGTATATAACGATAATCTATAATGTTATCTATAATCTCAGATACATTGCATGTTTTCATTCGCGCAAACAAAACATTAGTATTGATTGTGTTACTTTAACAGTTTATGCTTTAATAAAATGAGAGCGTTTGAATAAATTCATGCTAAAAAAATCGGTTTGAAAACAATAATATTGTGTCTTAATAACTTTTTTATGAAAAAAAAAAACGACCTTAGAAGTTCATGGAATTACATACATTTGTCAAGTTTTGTTAGATTTTTTTTAATATATAATAGACGCACGCTTGGCCACAATATCTCCTGATGTTAAGCGACGATTTGACCGACGATAGCACGCGTTTGTCTAAAAAATGCCTATTCACTCTTATTGGTTAATTGAAAGTGAGTAAAATCCAATGAACAGAATTCATCTCTAATTTGCCACCTTGGAAGTACCCAACAAAAAAAGAATCATCGAGATCGGTTTACAAATGTCGAAGTAATCGCGTAACATACACACACAAAAAAAATACAGTCGGTTAAAAACACGTTCAAATAAAAACAAACTGAGCGTAAAAATATTTTGAAAATAACAATAGCACAATCTTTTTGATTATAAACGCATCGCCGCAATCACAATATCGAATTCATTATCCACGAATGATTTTAAAACCAGAGTTCTTACCGGAGTGGAACGTAACTGTATCGTTGCACTGTGATTCCCCCATAGGCCATAAATCAAAAAAAATCATTGGCTTATCCCGGTTAGATCAACTCACTAAGTTAGTAACTAGTTAACAAGCTTCCAAAAACTATAAATATCAATGTAATTAGGTCACGTTATCATTCACTTTTGTGCATCGGAAGTGAGCGCATCGCGAGACTAATTATCACCACGTGTGAGTCATCGAAACTTAATCACTTTGTTTTTGAGTGTCACTATTCCAAATCAAGTGTTTACGTGTTGTGAAAGCATGGAGATCCAAGAGCATGGTATGTACTTTTATTATCAATTTTTTTTAATTTTTTTTTATGCATATTTTTTTTATATAATTTTTTTATTGAAGGCAGTTTTTTGGTGAAAATTTTTGGCATAACTTAATTTCCTTTAGACCTACAACTTTTGGCTGCGCTGAGCTGCACCTGAGGTATATGGTTTTTGAATAAGGAGTATGTCCTTATTAAGAGCTATAAGTTTCATTTGCATCTTGCTGCCTCTTCTTGGCTTAAAGGGGTGTCAAAGTATGCATGTCCATAGTATTGAATTTTTAATTTTTTTTTAAGTTCAGCTTTCATATTGTTTTAGGTACATTTTTCAAATGTTCTGTATCGAGGATGACAATTTTTGATATTTGGCACTCTAAAGTGGGTAATCCAAATGAAAAAATGCAACACGTCCTGAGCACTTTGACCGAAACATCATCCCTTTCTGACGACATCGAAAATATTGATTTAGAGACTTTAAGCCTTAAAATTAAGAATATTTGTAAACGAATTTCCCACTACTGGGCAAAGTCGAATCGTACTAGATCTAAATTCTTAGAAAAATATTCAGATTGGCTGCATGTCGTTGAAAATATTGATGTACAGCGAACTGAGTTACGTGTATCTCAGAGCTTTGACGAAGTTAAACCATCAACTTCTTCATCGCATGGCCGTCCGAGAATTAACTTTGACGACACCAGTAAACGTACAAAAAGGAGAAGATTGGCTAGTTTGTCTAACCAAGACCCTTCTCTTGTACAGTCATTGCTCAATGCGTCCGATAGCTTGTCTTGTCCTGAAATCGATTCTAGCGAAGTTTTATCGCTCATTGTTGAAGCTCAGTTAACTCGACATCAATATATATTACTAAAGAAATTTATAGACAATAAGTTTTCAAAAACCATTTTCCCATCTTACCAAAGTGTCGTGGAATCTAAAAAACACTGTTATCCTTCAGATATTACTGTTACAGAATCATCCGCCGAAGTCGAACTTCAAAGTTTATTAGATCATACTGCCAATCGGATTCTCAAGTCTCAAAAAGATGTTTTGGATAGTGTACCTAATGAGTCTCTAGATAAGATATCTTTGATAAGGAAATGGGGTTTCGATGGCAGTACAGGGCATTCAGAATATAAACAGTGTTTTTCTGACTCCACTCTTGAAGACAGTAGCCTGTTTGTTACTTCGTATGTGCCACTTCAGCTTGTTTTGACAACAGATAACAAAGAAAATTCAGTAGTTTTGTGGAAAAATCCTCGTCCTTCATCAACTCGATACTGTCGTCCTATACGCCTCCGATATTTGAAGGAATCGACTGCAGTGTCAGTTGAGGAAGAAGCTCATTTTAAAGATAAAATAAGGAACTTGCAGCCTACTGTTTTCAAGGAAGAAGATCGCGAATATCGCATTACTCATTGTTTGCAACTTACTATGGTAGATGGTAAAGTGTGTAATGCACTTAGTGGTGTTTCTTCATCAAAATGTTTTATTTGTAACGCCTTGCCCAGTGAAATGAACAAAATTGACGAATGTTTAAATAAGGAAGTCGATGAGAGTAAATATGAATTTGGTTTATCACCTCTTCACGCGTTAATACGTTTTTTTGAATATTTTGTTCATGTCGCGTACAAGTTAGATGTTAGGAAATGGCAAGCTAGGTCCGCTAATGACAAAATGCTTGTTGCTGCAAAAAAATCATATGTTCAGACTCAATTTAGAGAAAGATTAGGGCTTATAGTGGATAAGCCTAAAAGTGGCGGAAGCGGAACATCAAACGATGGTAATACAGCCAGGCGGTTTTTCTCGAATTCAGAAATTTCCGCTGAAATTACTGGGATCAAGAAGGATCTCCTAGATCGTTGCGGGATCATCCTTCAATGTTTAAATTCGGGATATAATATTAATAAGACGAACTTCGAAGAGTTCGCTTTAGAGACGGCTCGGCAGTTAGTTGCCGAGTATCCGTGGTATAACATGCCTGCTTCCGTTCACAAAGTTCTAATTCATGGTGCTAATGTTATAGATTACGGTTTGTTGTCAATCGGAGAGTTGTCTGAAGAATCAGCTGAAGCGACTAACAAATATATCAAGTCTTTTAGAAAAAATCATACGCGTAAAATGAGTCGCATTGTGACCAACACAGATTTAGTAAATAGGCTGCTTCTTCATTCAGATCCCTTCATAACAGGTCTACGAAAGTTACCTGTTAAAAAAAAAGGTGTACTGTCAAAAGCTGTATTAGACTTGTTATGTATTTAAAGTTAATATTGTTGAGATTTAATGTATTTTGGTATAATTTGTGTTTTGTTTGTATTTTGTAAAATGAACTTTTTTATGTATTTTTATTGTTTTAATTTATTCATTTGTGGTTATTGTTAATACAAATAATCATTATTTACACAGTTTTACCATTAAAAGTCGCAGTATAAAATGTTTTAGATACATCGTCTAAAAACAAAATTACTGCGAGACATTTTTACACCTAAATATTGTCAAATATTTTTTAAAATGTATAATTTTATTAATTTACGTTTACCTAATCATATTTTAACGTAATAAAATAAAAAAATAATAATAATTTCGGAGTTACGTATTTATGACCGCCTTAGTATGGAGCGTGAATCACCGTGCGTTGACAGAGTTCGTAGTGCAATGTTATAACTATCTATATATAGACATGTAAACAACTTTATAAATTGGTTACTAGAACTTTCGGTGAACAAGTATGGCGATGTTTGTTTATATAGGTGTACAGTAAATACAAAATTCATTAATTATAATATTTATACATTAAGTAGTAATTCTTGACAAGTATTTTTACTAAATTGACAAAACTGAAGACTGACGAGTGGTTTCTTTTGCAGAGGCGGCAGAGAAGGAGAAAATAAACGTGGAAATGGAAAGGTTAAGACAGAACAACATACAGTTGCAGCAGGATAAACAGTTACTAGAGTCTCAAATCTCAGAGGTAAGCAGAAAGAATTACGGAAGAAAAAACAATGGAAGTGCCCTAAGCTTCGATTACTCAGAACCGCTGTCGCCAAAACTCACACATTCAAAATTTGAAAGACTATGATATCTTGATAATGAGTGTTCGTATTTTCAAATTTAAAAAGAAATAACAAATTCTGTACAATTAATATAATTTAAACTTTACCCTGTTGGCAATCGTTGATGTTCAATACCATCAACACCTAGTATTACAAGTTACGACGTTTTTGATTGTATATTAAAATTTCAATCTATGCTGCTATCCGTGCTGCCATCTAGCGATAGCAGCTGAACGACGATGAAGACGAGATGTTTACTTAGCTTTCCAAAAAAGAAGCGACCATATTGCAGAGGCATAAGAAATAGTGCGACTATCATTTTTGCACATTATAGTAGCGAAATAGATTTCTATATTATATAGATTTCTACGATTATCTAGTTTTTGCGCGAGATAATTGACACAACCATAACGTGCAAAGCGAAAATGGTGGACTGAGCTCAAGTTTGCGGAACTCCGCGAACTGTTGGCACACGTGTCATGCAAACTAATCAGTTCCACAGTATTTATTGTTCTATGGAAATAATAATAGCTTAACTTGCTTTACAAAAAAGAAACATTAGACTACATCGGGAGCATTCCCCTTCCGCGTAAGAGATCTAAATTAAACATCTTTATTTCGTTGATAAAATCAAATTACTTTTGAAATCGCCACATCTATTTGAATTACTTCATTCATAGGTCAAATTCACCTGCATTTAATAGCTGGAAGTACACCATGCGTTCGTATTACCTATAATTATAATGCTACATTTTTACGAACATACTTTTTATGAAATATAAATTGACTGGGCAGAGTTAAAATATTTGAATATTTTTAACCGTTCCCTTAAAATATCACTGCGGCCTAACTTGTAAATTGCAGGTACAGCTCTTTTGTAGCACAAATACTGTTTGACAGCAATTAGACTATTTCTACAGTCGCTTGCAATGAAAAGTATACAATAGTCAAGTTAAAATTCACATATAATAAAAACCCGTGTTAGCTTAATGTGTGAAATTGTAATATTCTATAATTACTAAATAATTAAGCTATAATACAATTCTACAAGTGGTTACTCAAATTATTGGATTGTAATTTCGCTACATATATACTACATATCGATGCAGGCGACTGTACTACAAAATTGTATCAAATATAATCGTTATATCTAAAAAGATGTAAATGTATCTCGCCATCAAATATTCGTTATAATAGTCCATTTGCAAACGATTTTTTCCAGACGCGATCGGCTTTGGCAGAGGCGGAGAAGAAGGCGGTGCATAACGAGGCGGTGACAAACGACTACCGCGAGATATGCGCGCGTTTGGACAAACAGCTGCATCAAATACAAGATGCGATCAAGGACTGCGTTAGCTGCAGCGCCAAGCTGGAGCAGAAGGATAATAAAGAAGGTTTGTTGCTTCGAACATTTAAATAGGCACAGTGTATATGATTTTTTAAATATTTTTAATTTTATGGTATCAAGCGAGGGCGTGAACAAGTCGTGCGCCTGGTGGTAAATGACACGTATATGCATAGCAGTTGTAATGCCACTCTAAACTTTAAATCGACGAACTCTTTCACAAGGAGCTCTGAAATGATTTTTATGGTCATCTTTTTCAACCATTTGCACAACACATTCCACCCAGTTCCGGTTTTTTCGTATATGGGTGGATCAACTATTTTCTGTACTGAATCAACTTTTTGTGTAAAAAAAACAAATTCTGTTATTTCGCTCAATCTTCGCCTAATATTGCTAAATAACTTCTGTAGTTTATAAATCTATGACGAGCATCGAACTTCGTTGAGTTTTTCCAGTAGTTTTATGCCTTTATTACAGAAATGACACTTTATAACGTCTCCTACCTAACTTATATAAGTTATGACAAAAAGTAAATAAAAACCAACTTTGTAATCAGTCACTGTACTTTAATATCAATAAGTATATTAACCCATTTGCGCCCGCCGTGCCCAATCGAGGACACTACTTTGAGTACCCGTAATTTTTTTATATTCCTATTAATACTCATTACAAAAGTGTATATGTAAAGTAAAATAGTGGATCTTAATTTTATTATTTAAAAAAATTGTTTAGAATTAAATAAAAGTGGTTTGACTGTTCCTTTTATGGGGTTAACCTACGCACACGTGAAACGCTAAAGTTAGTTGTTTTTCCTGTATGTTATTACCAACAATTTATTTCTTTTTTTACATATATTATTGAAATGTATTCGTATACTATAAAATAAAAATTATATAATTGAGTTAAATAGTGTTTTGACAACTTCAGACGGTGGTATATAACGGTGTCCCCAATTGGGGCCATTGGGCGCTTATGGGGTAGTTTATTAGTTTTTCATCTATAAGTAATTTTCAACGAAATAATGACACAACAGGTATTTGGCAGCCACAATTATTACTATGGGCTTCAGAAAGCTATTGAAGCTGTAATGGATGAGAGAGACCATGATGTGGAGATAGATTTAGGGGGCATTTCCCCTGGAACTGAGGGCGCTCACCAATGTAGAAGTACTATTCTTATGTAACAAGATCTAATAATCTACGGCAAACTGGTTATCGAACAACTGAAACTGTCTGCAAAGGAAAAACTAAGAAATATCTACTTGACCAGATTTGTAATACACATGTAGAGTAAAACCGTGCCAATTTTGACTATCGATTTTACCCAATCAACCAAATTCTGTTTTTTCCATGGCTTGACAATAGTATTTGCACGATGAGCTCTGATTATGATAATGTCCTTTCTCTGGTGAAAGTAAAAAGATAAAGCACTGTGAATAAACAGAAAGCTGACGTGGGTATCCTGCGTGATTTAAAACGTACCAGCAGGATAAATCAAGCTGACCAATCTTTTTGTATCGCACTGCCATTCGAGGCAAAAACTGGTGGTGTTGTTCCACTACAAGCTGCACCTAGCACTAGCTAATACATGGCGTTTACACCTCCTGACCAATAATACGAAGCTAAATCAGCTACATCAGTTAAACGGTTACATCACGTCACTATTGGAGAAACAAATACTCAAAGTTTACATCCAGCAGCTTCTTTGGTGCTAAATCTACAGAACATTGGTGTTGATCACTACGCTCAGAAGTTGGCTTAACAGTTACGATGTGCAAAAATAGCTGTTGAGCCACAAATAAGCGCGTTGGCAATATAAAAAATGCGTCAAGTCTTTGTGCACCGGCAAATATTGTTACAAATTTTTTGACACCGCTTGAGCCCATTGTCCCCACTTGAGGACGGCATTTTTTTTCATACAAAATAAAATAAAATCTTTTTTTTCTTCATAATTTTCTCATAACTAGGCTATTTTGTAAAGGTTCATAAAAAAATTTTACTATTTTTAACGCTAATTTGTATTTGGGCGTTAATGGGTTAATGAATCAATATGGCGCTATCATAACTAAAAAAAACAGTCATTCATTTAAAAATAGATCACATTGTGTCTCCGGAGTCACAGAGTAAATGAACTGGAAAACTTTTCTTATAACTCTGTTCCTAGAAACACAAAAAAGATAGGTACACTTAATATGTAACTACCGACCGTCATTCTTTAAGGTTGTTATGTACAAAACTTTGTTATATAACTTTTTAGTTAAATTAAAATTGCACATAAAATATCACACAAAGTGGGGACAATTTGTAAGCCCGAAGACATACCAGGTGACTCAAGAGACACAATTGTTTGTACGACATACGTAAAGTCGATTTGTTGGACAATTAAGCTTATAAAAAATATCTTAAAAATATAACAATCAGCCGCTGATTCTATACCTAGAATAATTATGGAAAAAGAAACAGTAACCAAATTAAATCACACTTGGTGTTCTTTTATATTCCTCATATTTTACAGGGACCTTTTTAGCTGCGATAATGGCATGGTAACTGCAATAAATTAATTTTATGTAGTTAGGGTATGTAATGCTAGTATTAAAAATAAAATAAAAAAAACAATTGATTTAAAAATGTATAAAAAATGTATAATGGATTTGTGCTTGAGACACGTTCATTTAACAGAAGCTCTAGTTTTCTACTAAAAAAAGTACTAAAAATATCTAAAGTTCGATTCAGTTTGAGTATATTTTTGAAATATCGGTATATAAGCTAAAATTTCAAAAACACCATTAGAATTTCCGTTTGCTAAGTTTAGATTTTCATTTATGAATGGCTCTTTAGTTAATTATGTTTTGTATTTACTTATAACGGAATCTTTAGTACAGAAAATCAATTGGGGTCACCAAAATTGTCTCTTGAGTCACAGTTTTCGTGACGTCAGTCAAGAGACAAACTACGATTTTTAATTATTTTTCTTCAACAATTTTTATGAAAATAACGTAACACATGCATGTCAAATCATTTCAAACTTCCAAATATGAAAATAAAATTTGTATAAAAAGTTATTTGCTTACCGAAATTTCGTCGTCACTCCGGAGGCGCACAATAAACACACGCTGTCACGCTGCGAGTTACGGGCTAAATGGCCGAATCCATATAAAATTGAGGATTGGTAAAGCTCGATCATACGATGTGTAGATCCGTTTCCTATAGCTTAGCTATAGACAGTCTATCTCACTTAGTTGGTACTATCTTTGTTGTGACCCAGGCGACAATGCACTTTGTTGTTAAAAAGGGGACAACTATTCAAACTATTTTTTTTACTGAAAACTAAATCAAAGCTCTCGCAAATCAAGATTTAGAATACATGTATATTAAAGCACATAACCGATACTACATATACAGACAAGGGAGGAAAAATCTTAGACAACATCGTCGTTTCATTGTGCTGTATGCCTTGGGGACAGGTGGAATTTGTATGATATCTATGTTTTGACTACTGAGTCACGACATTTTTTAAATTAATAAAATAAACAATCTGATTCGATTACCAAGCTTCAAAACCGGCCTTTAAGTACACATTGTTCATTTTTTGTTTTTTTTAAAAACAAGGACACTGTTTTACATTAATTATAGTTGATCCACACATGTACATTTTGTTCATCATATTGTGAAAAATGCAAAAATAGAATCATGCTATTCACACCATGTGAATTCGGACGATTTCGTGGTACTATAATAAAAAATAGCTTGCACTTTGCGTACACATACGTTGGAAATCATCTAAATGAAACATCGTTACACTTGTCAACTACACACACACCAATAAATATTTGTACCTAAAAACCAGGGAAAAGAGCTAATTATTATTATATTACGTCATTGTTGCCTTCGTCTTGCAGAAGACACAGAAAACAAAGAAGTAAAGGCGGAAGGCGCGAGTGACACCGAGGCGAGACTGCGCCAGCGCGTGCGCGAGCTCGAGCTGGAGCTCGCCCAGGTCAAGTTCGCGCATGTGCAGGCCGAGTGCAGCAATCAGGTGCGTTCTCTACATGTCCATATCTTGATTAAACATTTGTGTGTATCGCCAGAGTATTATGTATACGTATTTGTTTATAAGTATTTATTTATAAACCAAAAGAAACTTAGGCTTTTGCGATTGCTATACATTGAAAATTAAACAATTTTTTCTAAACAAATCAACACTTCTGGCTGTCTACACTCAATAGTTCAGACCTTTTCCAGACGTTAGTTTGTTTGACAAAATAAATATGCACTATTTGGATCAGAAAAATAGTTTTATTCCAACCAAAAGAGAAGTAAATAAATAAAGATGTACTTAATAAATGACAATGACATATTATGCCTCTTTAACTCTATATATTAGAGATTAAATTCAAACAACACAATTATTCGCACGCTGTTATAACTAAGGCATATAGGAACGACGTTATAAATATAATCTATAATAAATCTGTGTAAATCTTCATTTATAAAAATATAAACAAATCTGTGTAAATCTTCTAATTGTTTTGTACCGTTTACTATTTGGCAGTGAACAATAAAAGTGTGAGAACTAAATTATAACTGAGTTTTGACTTTATCTGGAATCACCATAGTGAGCACGTTAAATCCGAGTGGTTAATAGGACCACCCACTCATTCTGTTGTAGTTCAGCGTCACAGTGTTGTTTGTATTCGTATTTTTTTCACGCCACGTAGACGAATTTACACTAATTGGGATCGATGATTGTACCTTTCGTTTACTTAAATATGTGTCGTTCACTGTAAAAGTGTTCTCCATATTATTTAAATACTTTTTTGCATAATGGTATCACACTTAATCATATCTTTCATTATAAAAGTGACGTAACTGCAATAATTGCACTTAAACCCCATAGATGGCGTAGCTTGTTTATTCATTGAACTAAAACTGCTAATTATTAATTATAAAAGTGAATAAGCTTTGACCTATTGGTAGGTCAAGATGAATAAGTTACAAAATTTAATTACAAACAGATAATTCACTTTTACAAGAAACGACACATGTAGATATGTCTGTTTTGTCAGGAATTAAGCCATCAACTAAATTCCGCGCTAAACGAGATGCAGTCGACGATGAATCAGAAACAAACCGATACTCCATGGCTCGTTAGGACACTCGGTAAGCAATATCAGCCTACTACAGACCTGTACAGGTTATTTGACTTTTACTAAACAGAAATTATGCCATAATCGTCCAACTGGCGGATTGGTCATCGCAATATAGCTGCAATGTAAATCCATAGTATAATAAGAAGACAAGTAATCCAACTCCCGCCTGTTCGTTGCGTCAATGTCTTCGCGTCACTCGCAACGTAGGGTTGCCACATTATTCTTTTATTTATTCCTACAGGTTGTAAATATAATTTGAAAACACTAAGGTGTCCATCACAGTATTCTCGTGCTATATGCAGGGTTATTTTTAAAATACTAACAACCTCGCAGGACTGTATTGCTAACATCATAAACAACAACCTTTATTCCATGTCTTTTTATAAAACATAATAGATTTATCAATAATCAACTTGTAATATCCTTTTTTAGACCAGTATTTGGTAGGAAGTAACAATATGTATAGCCGAGAGCCGTTCTCATGATCATAAAAATATTTTGGTGGCAGGCTACGAGTTCCCGTCCGTCAATTGGAATTAAATTATAGGTGTTACCCAACACTCTTGATATTGATAAATTGTATTTTTGTTTTTATTTGATAAAAGTTAAAGTTTAGAGCTTGTACACTGAATCCACGTTAAACAGGCTTAGGACTACATTTAAAAATAAAATAAGACGTTTTTTAAAATTTAATTTGACTGTAATATATTGGCAATAGATTGCTGGTTTACAGGAGTAGTGCCATTAATCGCTAAACAGTGGTAGTTTTTTATGGAAGTACAATTCAAAAGTGAACGTCCTTTTTGACCTTTTTGAGTTCATACAAAAAGTTCGTTAAATTGTAGTAGGGATGAAATAACATGTATGTGATGTTAGTTGATAGGTTCAAGTAGGAGCGTTTAGATACTGCTTTGAAAGTTATATTAAATTTTATTACAAAAATTCTGTTGCGTTCACAGTAGTTACTGTTATAAAAATAACCCTGCACTTACCTGTGTCAAATGCAGTATTTACATATTGATATTTTAGAGTATGAACAATTCCGAATTTGAGACAGTCTTTTCGTTTGAACAACTGTGAACGCAACAGTGAACGCGTCCACTATTAATTGATGTCATTTTTAAACATTAAACTAACGCTTCAATTCTGTAATTAATGGCGCGAGTGAGTCTGCAACGCGAGTGCCACGTGAGATTATGCGAGTGTATTTCATCGGTACACAGTGCGCGGATAGCGTGTATTTACGAGCACCTCAATTACGGTTGAATGGAGTTTACTACATGTCTTATTAAACTATGGTAAAGGCCCGCATTAATAAATCTATCTCAAGTGCAGAATGTTAAGATTTTCTAAAGTGAATAGTATTTTTTAATGAATATCCCTTGAATGCACATCACCGATTACTCATTGGTGGTTATAATAATAATATCAGTTATTATGTTATGCATCATTTGAAAGTTGTCAAAATTTACTCTGTTAATAAAACGTCACTCAGCACTTCAACTACGACACCACAGAAATCTAAATAAATAATTTATTTGCATTTCTGTGTAAAGCACAAAATCCTAATCAACAAGTGATCATCATCCAAGATGCCGATGATTTTAGTCTCTAAGGTGTGTCTCGAAATTTTAGTGACTTACGAGATGTTTGTTAATACGGGCCGTAATATAAGCTACCTTTCTGTTCGTTTCTTTTACTCTCTTTTTTGCTTTCCGTGAAACGGGAAGAAATGTAATTTTTCACATTGTGTTTAAGTTATTATGAGGTCAATTATCCAATAAGAAGAAAAGAAGTTATATGCCAGTACAGTCACATTTAATCATCATTTCATCCATGATGACGATATTTCAGACTTTTTTGCCAAATATTTCTCAAAGAGGAACTGGCAAATTATATTTTCTATTCGCTGAACGGATGATGGTCCATCAATACTGCTACCGGATATAGTATAATATACCATTTTTATAATTCCGACGTATTCAGGTGCGGCTATTGTTACCATTCCGAAATTTGAATGGTCCGTACAAAAAGCCTGACATTTGCGAAAAAGGTCCAGTCTGTTTAGTAAAAACATAAGATCGAAAATCTCACGCGGCATGGGATGTGGATAAACGCCAGATATCGCATTCTGTCGTAAATCGAGTATTACCACAGAATTGCGAGTTGGACATATTATTTTTTATTCTGAAAATTGTTATCTTAAGCTGACAAATTCGGTAAAATGACAAACTTGGACAGAATGTCAAAAAGCCAAACAAATCCAGACAAATTCGGGCGAATGGCAACCCTAGTTACGGCAGACTTATACGCTTGTAACATTCTCTTCTGAACACTGCGATTCATCCCGGTTTCAAATGCCGTAAAATACTTATGATCATCACTCGTAGTACAAAATTCTTTGTTTTCACCACGCTGACGGCAGATATCAAAATTAGGAAATCCTATTGGTTTTTCAACTTAGCGTTGGTGGATAATTGGCCTTATTCTCTCTTTAACTGACAATATTTTGCGCTTATTAAGGACCGTCGAGATTTTCCATTTTACCACATTATGTTTTCTGTTTCATTCTTCAAACCTGTTTACACATGTTTTGTTTCTTTACATTCTACACTGACCACTGAATGAAATTCATATATAAAATGTTTGGTCGTAGGTCACTAACCTGCACCTTTTTGCAGTTGCCAAAAAAAGGTGATGGCTTTCTCTCAATATAAATATTGTGTTAGCGCTCGGTGACATTACAACATCATATAACTTACAATCTCTTACAAACTTGGCGAGACTTGGCGGTTGATTTTTACTAATACATATTTGTAACAACAATACCACTTTTACGGTTTTCTTGTGCAACCCATGTAAAATTACAATCTAAAAACATAGGAAAGACTACCGCAGATCTCGTCTGTCTGTGAGAGTATTTTCTATTTCAGATTTTCAATACTAATCTTTCTAAATATTTCCATTATCCAAGTGTGTAGAAATAATTTTTATTTATTTATTTTCGTTGCTTGGTAATATAGAGTAAATTTCTAATAGCTGTAGTTATCCGTGCTCATTAAATATTTCCTAATATTTTGTCGCTTATTCGCCTTTAAAAAACAATGGCGAATTTCCATATAAATTTTTGTAGACATAATTTGTATGCGTCTGTTTATGAAAAATGTGTAAATACAGTAGAGTTTAAGTTGCTGAACTTTGGTTTTGAGTTTACTATAGAAATATGGAATTAAAAGATATTCCAGTTTGAACTTTTGGAGGTTATACTTTACATAATTGAATAAAATATATTCGGTTAATTATTATATCAAAATAAAGTACAGAAGCCTTAAACAGAGTTAATAGAAGCTCAATGGTGCCGTGAGTTTGTGACGTGACGAAAGTTCAGAGGAAAATATTTTTTATGAGGTATGGTCAAAATGGAATGCCATAAAAAACTGAGTTAATACATACCCATGCCCTGGTACCTAACACAGGCAGTAAAATATTTTTTGTGAAACATGCCATCTATCCCTGACACATGGAACTTTTTGTTAGTTTTACCACTTTCTCGCGTGGCATATTTGGAGAAGGTATTTTTTTTTATTTTTTTTATGATAAAGCATTTAATCTCTTATTGCAAATCGGTAGAATCAGTACATTTAATGTTACGGGAACTAACTTCATGTGGACCAATCTATACGTAGGTATTGAAAATCTGTTTTTGGCGGTTAGATGTCGCTCAACGTTAAGAAACTAAGAAACTGACATTTGTAGATATCAATCCGATTACATACTAATTAATAAGTCATTTGACTTTCATTTAAATATGATTTGATTTCCAGACTTAGACTGGCCTTTAGTATAATTTGAAATATCTAATTAATTTATTTTATTCAAACTTGTAATTATGACGTTAGAAGACGCAAAAAAATTATTTTCGCAATAATTTCGCCATTGTTCTTTGCTTTATTATGTAAAAGTTTTTTTTATACGTACATTATATAAATAGTTTAAATAATTATTGTTTCAGATACAAGTACAATGCATGTTTTTTACCTTTATAAAAATGTACTTGCAAGTTATGACTTCTTTCCACACTAGAATCACGAAACACGAAATATATTTACTGAAACGAATTTAGGAAAAAAAAACATTCAGTAAACTCACTACTAATACTTAATCTAACAGCAATAAATTCCCACAGGTTCATTGATGGAAGCGGCACAAAACCGGCCATCGTTCCAAACATACCTACCGACCTTAAATTCAGAGCCACAGTCTCCTCTAAACAAGCCGAGCACTATCTCCTCGCAGCAAAACTTCGACCGCCGAGTCTCCGATCCCTACAGCCCTGACGTCGTACGGAGGAAGAAGGATCTCAACTCGAAAAGGCACTCCTTGCTCGCCGATTCAAATCTCAACAAACAGACGAAGGACATAAATCGACGGAGCCATGACGTCACTAATGTAACCATTGTGAAAAACCTGTCAATGGGTTGACTACTCCATTCCGCAAAATCTGGTTAGTCTGAGCCATTTGGTATTTCCTGTATTATAATTATAAACTTATCAAATAACAAAGAAGCTTTCTAGTAAACGTATTATAACCTTTTAACAAGGTTATTTTTAATTTACCCGAAACCGAAAGAAATAAATTTTTATCAAAAATTTCCGAAACAAACTTCGTCTCCGATTCGTAGATTCTACAACAGACTTTAAGATGGCGTAGACAGCGCAGTTTATTATAGCATTCACTGCCAACTGTGAATTAACTGAAATTTGAGTATCTACGCTAAGCATATTCAGGTCGACAAATAATTTATATTTCTTCATGTTTCTCTTAATGTTTGGATCAGTAACATAAACTACAAATTAAAATTTTATGGACACCGTATTTAGTCGTCACTGTGATTCATTAAAATTGCAGAACTGTTTTTTTGCATTTTCTAGCGTTCTGGTCAAATTTTCTGTGTCAGTAGCTAACTCATACTCGAAAGCGAGACTGATCGAGAACCAAATTTCTACATCTTGTACGGGAATTATGGTTCGGAAGCACACTTTGGATTTTAGTGATATGGCCGCGAACGAAATAAAAAAGATAAGAACAGGACTAGCACAGTTCGCCGCGAGAGGTGTTAAAGCACGACGTATAGGCTTTGTCGCACTGAGCACGTATCCGTTCCTGCGACATACGACTAAATATTCGCAGTCCAATGCTATTCGGCGCGAATGCGATTATTTGCGACTTTTGTTAACACTTACAAGGATAAGACTAAAGTTTTGAACGGACGTTCAAAACTTTAGTCTTATCCTTGTAAGTCAATGTCTTATCCATTCAAATTTTGACAGTTGTTTGCGTAATGTTGTTACCACGGTTTTCTTCATTGTTTGGCGTGTTTCATAAAATAAAATATATTTTTGTTGAATAAATATCTTATCATTAAATAAAGTTTTGAAATTGCATTATTATCAAAAATACGCGATATGACTGGAATATCGATATGAAATACAAAACACTCTGCCGGTGTGCTTTTATGCGACTTTCTATATTTATTTTATTGAAAACATCAACACTCAACGTAAGCTATTCTATAGTTCAGCCATATAAACTGTGCTAGCCCTGCTGGAGTGTTGGAAATGCTTCAGAACTTTCTTTTGGAGATCGAAATTTCCCAAACACTAAAATCCACAGAAATCTATCGGCGTCGCTGTTCCTCCTTAAAGTGTAATTCGGAACCGAGGCCAATCTTCATGTACATCGCTATTACCTTGAAATCACGTCAAGATCACCATTACCTTGAAATTGATTTGTGATTTCAAATTTTAGCTCACGCGGTTTTTGCTGGAGGAACAGAATGATAATCATTAAGACGCTGCATTAATATATGCATAATCTAAATAAGTTCGCGCGTACTCAAAGTTTTGCCCTTCAGTTTTTTCGGGATGTCGATTTTTTTTAATTTTAAGCGATGGTTGTTTGTTTGAATGTCGTGAAGACTGTTTTATAATATTGTTACCATCTCAACTGCTGTAGGCGAGGCGACACTCGTTCAAAAAAATGTTGTGCATGATTTTTATATTACCTAATTTGCTTATTACGGTAGGATATTTAGACAAAACTTTAAAATAAATTAATACATCACTTACCGCCACAGTGTTTCAAAATTTATATAAAATCTAATTGTCTTGAAGAATTACGCTAAGCACTTATTGGTCAAAATATATCAGATTCAAATTCAATTATTTTCATTTGTCAGTATCCGAAATAGGGTCATGCTACATGGTGTATAAGTGTTTTGGGTTTATTAAAACTAATTTTGTATAGGTTTAAAGCTCCTTTGTCATTTGTAAAATATAGTAGATTTCTATTAAAAAAAAAAAGAGATATTAAGTGTTGTCCGAACTGTACGGGAAATAGTCTGTAATGTGCACATAACCGTAACACTAGTCATTGTAAGGTTAGTTTAAATGAGCACGTTATTAATTGAATGTCGTTTCGCTGCACTACATTATCATTCTTCATTTCAAGAGAAGGTAAGACTTATTTTGCCTCCAACCAAACTGGTAGGCACGTAAACATTCAACAATAAGTTTCACTTACATTTCAGAGGAATTTAATCTCTAACATACCATTGCCAATCTACTTTACACTACTCTAAAAATAATTACTATAAGCCAGTTAGCAGATGACGGTTCTTTTTGCCAGCTTTGTTTCCTTAGCCTAACCGTATTTGCGGTCGATTAAGGGTGTCATCACACTTATCCGGAGAACCGCTTTAAACCGGTGAGAAAAACCTAAATATCTATGTAATGAGAGCGAAAATAGATAGAATATAATTATTTATTTCAGACCATGATCTATAGTAATGTTAATAATACAGTAAATTTTTCTTCCGTGCTGTGGTTAGTACAATACAAAATTACTTAATGCTGTAGATATGCCACGTCTAGACCACTACCCTACACAACGGCTAGGATGCTATTAGCGCTGCCGTGCACACGCATTGTGAGTGAGACAGCCCTCTTGCGAATAATGGCATGAACGCCATGTGAGTGCGCCTCCGTGAACATGTAGTCAGGGTTCTCTGCATATACTTCACCCACAGGCTGAATAGGACGTTGTGCAATTCGCGTCGACGATCCGAGCAGAAGCGAAACACGCGACGTCTGTTTCCCCTTTTATCGCATGGACATAAAGGTTTTTCTGACCAACACAAGGCCGTAATGTGAAATTTAGCAGCTTCGCGAAAAAAATACGTCATCTGATTGTTAAACAAACTGTATTTTATCGTTTTTAGAACATCCTCCATTTGTTACCCTATGCCAGTATATATTGGTTGAATAACTCTTATAAAGCTTATAAATGTTAATAATAATAATAACACACTGTAATCTAGCTAACATTATTTATAATTTGTATGAATGGTTGTGTTGTTAAAACAAGGTGTGCTAAAATAACGATATTGCCTTAAATATTTGCACTACAGAGCATCACCTTAATTGACATTTTGTTAAGTAATTTATTTTGAAGGCAGTCTACAAAATAATGTTAATTGGTATATTTATTGGTTGTAGTTTAGCTTCGCGCAAATGACGCCCTTTGTATGAAACGATCGCAGCGCCTCTACCCGACAAAAAAAATACAAAAGAACCAGAAGGTCATGGTTGCTGTTTAAACTTTGTTTTTTTTTAGCATTAGACAAGACAGAAGTTTTGGGTCTTTTATCAGACGCCCATTTCATTCTCAAACACACCTTTACAATACCTTTATGTAATTATTACATTTTTTTACTCGTGATATTCATTAAAGATTAAATAGAATATTCGTAACTTTATATACTTAATCTATTTCAAAGACTTGTTCTATATAAAACTTAAAGAAACAGAGGTCCCAAACCCAAAACGGATCTTTTTATAAAATAATAATATATCACGTCATTTGTCAACAATTTCCATGATATTTTCTTTTATAGTAATTATTGTCTAAAGAAAAAGGTTTACAATCACAGCATTTTTGTTTACATTTTTTTTAATAAAAAAAATACGAAGTCAAGTTTATTTTAACTGTCAAATTGTGTTGTAACAATTTTTTTTTAACATATCGACGCCATCTGCTTTGGGATAACAATCAAAAGTATTGTAATCTGTTTGTATCGCATTGTGCCTTCAGGATTCTCTAAATAATGCGTGTCTCGATATTAATCTTAATGATTTCAGTATTTATTGTGAAAATGTAGATTTAAAATTGTATGTCAAAGAATGTCATTAAATTCTGTTTTGTTGTCGTACGCATTTTGTACGTGTATTGTTACACAAACTTTTATTGTTATTTGGTTTTCCTCAATTTACATTAAAGAAAGTATTATTTTCCAATAATTTCTTGTTATTGATATTTAATTTGGTACTCTTCAATTTACATTAAAGAAAGTATTTTCCAACCCAATAATAATTGGTCTTATTATAAATGTTTAGAAACATTTTAGAATGCATAAAGATGTACTGGTACATAGTTATGAGTACGTACCTAAATTTGGAATAACACTTATGAATGTCAGCTTTATTTTTTTAAATATTTTATAGTACCAAACTTATGATTTAGTTCTTTGCCAATATGATTTTTACCTCTTATTAAAACATTTAATGTAAAATTTGTGCTACTTGGGCGCTGCGTATACGACGTCTACATATTTACGAACGTTGTCTACTTGTGCCTGATTAGCAGAGAAATTTCGAAGATGCTTTGTAGATTTAACAATAAAATTGAAAAATTGCATTAGTCGTGGCAGTGCCATGGCAGAAGAGCTTACCCGCTTGTTACAATGCTGAAAACAAATTTATGCGTGATTTGAATATAGATCCCTCTACTTCTAGAAAAAGCACTGATCGTGCTTGCTTGACCGTGAAAACATGGCAACATCGAGTAATCGGGTACATGCGTCACATTTTTGTAATAAGGATTTATTACCAACCATTAAAATTCTATCCTTTATAATTAATAAGCGCTCTTATATTCTAAAAAAGTGACAACTGTTATATAATTGCTTAGACAATAATTTGTAAACTCGATATGCACTGTGTATTTAACGTAAAATGCTTGCCATAGAGAGCTATGCTATAATTGTATTATGTATAACCTCTGCAACGTAATGGAAGTCTATAACACGTAGAAATTATTACTGTTTTTAATTGTATCATAATTTTTTTCTGATCTCTGAAACGTGTAGAAATTAATCAGTAACATTTGTAAAGATTATTATACAGATTATTTGTCTTTATAACACTTGTACGTTAATTATCAGTAATCATAAGAATGATTAGAGAAAATGTCACAACATCAATAGTAGTAAAAGGGTGACTCATTAGTTATTGTAATAATGGTGTTGTAAACAATACCATTATTACCTTGATTCGATTTGTTTTAATATAATTGTTTTCGTATCCTTTGATAGTCGAAGGGCTAGGACTGATCCGAAAGCAATACTGCCCTACCAATCAAACCATCTTCTAAATAAACACATGAGATAATGTCGGCATACTAAAATGTAAGTGTAACAATTCCGAGTCATAAAAGTCGCCCTTTACTAGATCAAACTCACTTGTTAGCATAAATTGCATTTCATTTGCTTTCACATATTGTAGAGGACATAATAGGGAGTTATTTAGTTGGTACACATGGCTTTATAAATATCGCGGCGACTACAACGTTTGTGAGCAGAGTATAGAACGAGCTGATATTGTTTTAGTAGGTCTTTATGAAAATAAACATTTTACAGATGATTATAAAGATTTTTTCTTCTCGTACTATCGCAGTATACCTATCAAGATAAATAAAGCAAATAGATTTTATCGAACAACCTATGAACGTTAGGTAAATTGAAACAAGAAAAGAATTTCATATTTATTCATAGAGTTTTATTATATTGTATGTATGTTAGTCCTTACGGTATATATTGTTTTGGTCATGTGGCCTGAAATAAATAAATAAAAAGAATTTACCCTTTGGATTTTTTTACACGCCATCTATTATAGAGTAGAACTGCGAGCTATACACAAATTCACACGTCTTAGGAGCGCAATGCGCTGCAGACAACTGAAACGTGCAACATTGCAAAACAAAAACGCATGGGCAATGGCCGTTCCTGGACTTTATACGCATTATTTCAAGCACTAAATATGTCTGAACTAAAAATAAGGTTCATTTTTATAACGGTGTGACCCATATTTCGTAGTTTATTTTAAGTAGCGCCATCTAGTATCAAGTAGAACAACTAGAACAAAAGCTAAATCGTCGACATTTCAAATAAAGTTGGTGAAAATAATTCGCTTAAGATAATAACGTCTTTACTATTTGAAGTTTCCCAGTAGTAATAAACATCCTTAAATAGATAACTTTTTATTAAAAGCAGATGGATTATCTCCAGCCACCGTGTCGTGAGCTGTGACGCAAATCGAGGCTGATAATAAACAGGTGGCCGGTATTTTTAGACGCACTGTGATATAATTTAAGAGCTAACACGTTTTGTGTGGGTTTTATGTTGATTTTAAGAGAACTTATACGGCAATCTTGTTGGAGGATGTTGTTTCGTTACTCTCTCTTCAACTACATAAAACTCTACCCAAATTCGATGTAGAATAAATTTCTACAGACAAAAGTTTTATGATTTTTATTATTTTATAGTTTGTGGTAACCGTAAAATTGGAATATTTTTCCCCGAAATTCAATTAGGCTGTTAATAATACTGATCTTGGAGTCATGTCTGTGACGAATAGAACGACGACGTATTTTGATGATAGAAACTATCTTTTCTACATAGTCTCGGGTCTGGGTGTTTGTGGTTCCGTCGTTGTTTCTGATTTCCATAACACAAATGCTTCACTTTCTTAATTTGGGATCAGAGCAATGTATATCATGTTGTCTAATATTTATTTGTTTTTTTACTTTTCAAATTGCCAGTAACTATTTGAAACCAACGTAATATTTATCAGTAATAAACATTCAATGGTAATAAAGTCATTATTTATATAATTGTGACATCTCTAATGATTTTTTATTTACGCCTTTAAAAACCTCCGTTTAGAACCTTACAGTATTCAAAATAATAGTTGCATTTTAATTGACCCTACGTAAATATTTAAATAATTTAGCAAATTTTACAATAATTGGCTATGGTAAATGATGACTCTTACGTAATTGACGACCTCGGTGACCCAATGGTTTGTGGGCATGGATATGGAAGCCGGTGTGTAGTAGCACAAGGGATTCCTTAGATTGAGATCAGGTAATTGGTGTGGTTATTTGGTACATTATTTATTATCATTATTATAACGCAGTTATCTTTTTACCTATTTAAATTCCACATACTCGAGCTCGCACTGGGCAGAACTAGCGTTAGCTAAAGAGCATCGAGTATATAACCAGAAATAGAGACGAAATAAGGGCCATCCATCCCTGGCAACTCATCAGTCAAAAGGGCCTTAAATCACTTTTAAACATCAACTCTCGTTTGCGCTGAAATCACAAATTAGAAAGCTGAAATAATACAGTAGTTAACAACTGACCTGTATTTATAGTAATAAATATAATATCTCTAATGGGGGTTGTCCAATTCGGCGGTGTGGGAAAAACAGCCAAACATCTAATTACAAAACAAACGGAATCACATTTCATCGTTAATTGAACATTAAATAAGTAATTTTTAAATTTTCAAAGCTCCAGTTACACTATTCGATTTCAAGTGATTCGTCAATTGTTCGAATTCGGGCTGGCCAATCGGAGCGCTGTTGTTACAGTAATGATTTGGCAGAATAGTTTTCAAACAAATGAAATGACATTTCGTCTCTATTTCTGGTTATATACTCTAAGTCTAGCAACCTTTTATTATTAAACAATCCAAATCTAAATTAATAAGAGTTATGGGTCCTTTTCAAGTCTTAAAACAATTCTTTAAACTCAATAGGGATCGACTGCAAATGAACATACGAAAAAAACAGACAGGTGTACCTACTAGGGCAGCAGGTGTAGGAAAGGAACTCCCCTCGGGCAAAACGTGTGAACGGAAGCATCGTATTTATTTGTTGCACTCAACACTGCAGGGTGTTGCTAGGAATCTTATACGGATTTTTTGGAAAACTTTTGAAGTTGTATGAATTCCATTTTATTTATTTCCTTTTTATTTTATTATATTTTATTTTATTATATATATTTCATTATATAGATAATGAGCTTGTAAAAATGTTGTATAGAGATCTGTCGCGAATTTCTTTTTTTTTGTATACAGTCAAGAGCACATCAAGCTAACTCTTTTTTTGAATATGGCCTCCGAAAAACATGATCCGTCAATGTGTAGCTCGATGGGATGCCGTCTGTGTTTTCGTTTTTTTTGCTGTTAATGGTGGTGAGCCGCGTGGTGCATTTTTTGTGTTTCTCGTTATAAGTGCATATTTGTGTTTGTTCCTGTACTTTTCCTCACTGCTTTTCTGTCTTTCACCGTTGTCGTCATCGTCCACTTCATTTTGGTCCTTGGATCCGGATATCCAACGTACCTGACATACCTTTATTCGTTTTGACATTTCAAAAGCTTACAGCTTACAGTCAGTCGTTTTACTCGAGCGGCCTGTGGGTTAAGTATACGGAACGAGCTTACAACGCCCTATTCGTTCAATATAATAACGCTTTCAGGATGCTGTTGGGATTACCAAGATGGTACAGTGCATCAGGCATGTACGCAGAGGCGCAAATAGACAGCTTCCAAGCGATAATGCGGAAGAAAATAGTAGTGCTTACGCTTAGTATCTATGGTCACATAGATATAGGAATTTCCTATATCTATGCTTATGACTCGTGTTAGAAGTAACCGCAACAGCATCCTGAAAATGCTTGCAGGCAGATTTGATAATCCAATACTAAAGTAATAGGGTTGGGCAAATCAAATCTGTTTTTATATATATTAAATAAATATTACGTTTATGTTGTGTCGTTATGTTCTGTATACTACTAACCTATTCTAAGTGCAAATGTTACTAACAAACT